TACGATAAGTTATCCAAGTTATCCAAGTCTGGGACATTTTTGCATGCTGGCGCCCAATGGCAAACTTTGAAAAATATTTTCTCCGAAATTTTTTCATTTCATATTGCTTATCTTTTTAAACATTTAAACCTGACATTTTTTGCAGAGCAAAAATTGATCATTGATAACTATTTGTTGGTCTGTTCCAGAACCGGCAAGAATCTCCTAGTTTTGCAATATCATAAAGGAAAAATCGGTTATCGTAGTAAAAACTTTTTGATTCCTGCAGTTCGGGAACATACTACATATTATTCTGAAAAAAATTTGAGATTTTCTAATGACGAAAGTATTTTTCATTGAAAAATTCATTCATTCCAAACGTATTGACAAAATTGGGACACCCTGTATGTTGGAGTATAACCATTCACTCACTCGTCGTCCATCAAGCACACACACACTCTCAATAAGAATGGGTCCTGAGAGTGGGCTGTGGGCTGTGAGGGCTCTTTACTGTATTTCATTTGCCCAGGGGGGCGGCAGGGGCCAGAAGCTTCCTCAAGAAGAATTTTTCTTTTACGGTTCGTTTTGTGGCTCTGTTGACGACCATGTTGTTGTTGTCGTCGTCGTTTGTGTTGTTATTGTTGTTGGTTGCTATACTATTATTATTACTCTTGCTGTTGTTGTTGTTGCTGGTAATTAGGTCGTTTATAGCGTCATCGTCATCATTGTATCGAGTTGAAATGTTGTTGTTGTTGTAGTAGTAGTGGTGCAACAACATAGATGGCATAAAGAAATGGAATACAAATTTCTAAATCGAACAATAAGAATGAGCAAAAAACGAAACTACGGAACTACAAAAGAAAACTAACGACCAACCGACCGAAAGCAAGGCAAAACCGAATCGAAACCACCACACCACTCAATAGGTCGTGGACATACAAAAATAGACAGACATTTGAATCCAAAATGCAAAAAAGAAAGTTGGACTCTATTTTTCTTCCTTTTTTCTTCTTTAAATTCTATCAAACATAATATCCAACCAAAAAAGAAATAAAAATAAGGACATGCACGGTGCTTAAGTGAAATGTGAGAAAAAAAAAGTGTAACAAAATGTATTTTTTTTCTTCTTGTGCTGCTTTCGGTGGGAGAGTTATGAAACTGTGTCACAATGATAATGTCACAAAGAGGGACATGTCTTTTTTTGTAGTCTAGATTTTTTCTAAAAACCCAGGTACTTAACGTAATGAAGATTTAATGGAAAATGCTATTGTTTTTGTGTTCGGTTGGGGGGAAGGGGAGGAAAGATTATGTTGGACCGAAAAAAATCAGAAAACTAACCACGAAAAAATAGCCTGTTATTAGCATAAACTTAAGTGGCGCCCAATGATACCATGGCGACTGTGATTGCAAATCTTTCGGAATTCGGTGGATTTTAGACAAATATTAACAAATCCAGAGCCAATTACAAAACTATTTTGTTACACTGGCGCCCAATGGCACCAGATGTCAATGTTTTGTAATCTGCCTTGGTTCTAATGCTTGTAAATCTTTCGACGACTCAAAGGATTTTTATTGAGACTAGTCGACGACGGAAATGTGAATAAAAGGCAGGCTTTATGAACCGAAATAAGTGTTTAACATAGCTCCAGGACCTGAAACGCCTCAAAAAAAAAGTAAAAAAACAATAATTATAATAAATAAAAATAATAATAATTTTAACCAGTACCCTCCAGCATGAGAACCTATATCAACAATTTTTGTAAGGCAGTTAAAAACTTGAAATACAAAGTTTCAAACAAATTTTTAATGAAAATTTGGGAAAACCATCAGAATATCCGAATATAGAGTACCGTAGGTACCACTATATGGCCGACATACCAGAGTGTGGACTTATATTAACTATTTTTTGGCAAGGGAGTTAGGAACCCGTAACAACCTTCAAATACCAAATTCCAGACAATTCCATTGAAAATTCTGGCCTAAATCGTTAAAATGCTTAAAATGAGGGGTACCTCTGTAGGGGGGCTATACCACAATGTGGACCTATATTAACTTTTTTTCCGCAAGGTGCTTAGGACCCTTGTAACAACCTCAAAATACCGAATTCCAGACAATTCCCTTGAAAAATATGTCGAAAATCGACGAAATCCTTAAAATGAGGGGGTACCTCTAAGGAGGGCTATACCACAATGTGGACCCATATTAACTATTTTTTGGCAAGGAGCTTTGGAACCTGTAACTATCTTCAACCCGTACCGTAGCAACCTTCAAATGCCAAAGTCCAGACAATTCCACTAAAAATTGTGCATAAATTGTCAAAATGCTTAAAATTAGGAGATACCTTCATATGGGACCTATAACACAATGTGAACCTATATTAAATATTTTTTGGCAAGGTGCTTAGGAACCCGGAACAAACTTCAAATACCAAATTTCAGATAGTTTCTTTGAAAAATGTACCGAAATTCGTCGAAATGCTTAAAATGAGGGGGTAACTTCATATGGGGTTATACCACAAAATGGACCTATGTGGACTTTTTCTGCAAGGTGGTTAGGAACATGAAATAACTTTCTAATAACAAATTCCAGACAATTCCGTTGATCAATATGGCAAAAAGCGTCAAAATGTTGAAACAGAGGGGGTACTTTCATATGAGGGCTATACCAAAATGTGGACCTAAATTAAGTGTTTTACCGCAAAAAGGTTAGGAACCCATAACAACCTTCAAATAACAAATTCCAGACAATTCCGTTGAAAAAGTTGCTGAAAATCTTCGAAATGCTAAAAATGTGGGTTTACCTTCATGCCACAAGGTGGATCTATATTAAATATTATTTTTGGCAAGGTGCTTATGAACCCCTAAATACATACAAATACCAAATTTCAGACAATTCTGTTAAAAAATGCGACGAAAATCATCGATATTTTTAAAATGAGAGGTTACCTTTATAGGAAGGCTATAACACAATGTGGACCTATATTAACTATTTTTCGGCAAGGTACTTAGAAACCCGTGACAACCTTCAAATACCAAATTTCAAACAATTCCTTTGAAAAACGCGCCACAATTGGTCAAATTTTTAAAAAGAGCTGTTCACACTACATACCGTTATATAGGGGTTATACGAAAAAGTTAGTCTAAGTTCAGATCCAAAACGTATGTGTACCAAATTTCAATACTATATCTCAATTCTTTCGAAAGATATCATGATTACCACAGACGGACGGACGGACGCCAATGACAAAATCTGATTAGAATTTTACGCCGATCATGAATATACATACTTTGTTGAGTGTGAAATGATTACTTGATGATTACTTGATGTGTGGCTCGGTTGTTTGCTGTGTGCAGTAACTGATCTTTGTTTAGTTAGCACAGATGTTGATAACATTTCGGGGAGTTCACAGTCCATAGAGGCAAACTCAACAATGGTTAGATTATTAGTAGAAATAAAAGATGGCGCAAATGTAATCCACTTACCAGAAAATGCTATAAATTTTACGATTGGCACCTAATGACTTAATTACAGCAAAAAAAAAAAAAAAAAAAAAAAAACAAAAACGTTGGAATGTCATGATAACTTCTGGTTTAATTATCGAGCTGTGTTTGGTTAGCACAGAGATCGTTAAAGCGTAAGGGGTGTTCACAGTGCATAATTGTGAAATAAATTGTAGCAGAGTTGTTCATATATCACAAATGTTCAAACAATAAGAGCTGTTCACACTACATAATTAGATAATAATTAGATAATAATTTATAATCAATCATTTTTTATTAAAAATTCAAATATGAATGTTAACTCTCAATGAAACATTATTATTTGTTTAATTTCCTAGCTAAACTGCTGTGTGGCTCGATAGCATGATAACTCTTTGTTGAATGGACGAGCTGTGTTTTGTTAGCACAAATATCCTTGAAGCTTAAGGGGAGTTCACAGTGCGTAATGGTGAAATAAATTTTATCATAGATGTTCATGACGTTTATCATTACCTTAAGGGCTGCTCACACAACATTATGACCAATTTGGCTATGGTTTGATTATTAATTCAAATAAGTCCTTTCTTTTATTAAAATTTTAAATATTAAAGTTTTATTTCAATTAAAACAATAATATTTATTGAGTTTCGATAGCATGATAATAGCTGGTTTAATGATCGAGCTGTGTTTAGTTACCGCAGAGATCATTGAAGCTTAAGGGGTGTTCACAGTGGATAATGGTGAAATAGACCAATAATTTCTTTTATAGAAAAGCCTAACCAATATATTTTTTAAATAGCTAAATCATGGTAAAATTAAGATGTTAAAGTCATGCAATCATATGTTTACATTTTTTTTTTCAAAATTATTTATTTGACAATAGCTAATTGTCAAAATGTATATTTTTAAACCAGAGATGGGTTTTCTATGCAGTGAAATTTGACAAAGCAAAGCATAAGAAAATCAGAGATGGATATGTTTATTTCAAATGACTTTACCTTCTTAATTTTACCTTTAGCTAAATGTCTTTTTATGGAAATTTAAAATATTTTAAATAGACGGGACAACTAAGTGGCGTAATATTTAAAACAAACTTAGAAATAGCCTTAAAGTACGTTTACACATACTAAATGGAGCGGATTTCAATAGTCAAATCCTTTGCGTTTACGTCAAATTAAATCGATTTCCAAATCCTGTGAATTTTATTTGACGTATTATAGAATTTAAAGTTAAACCCCCATTGGATTTATTATGTCTGAACGGTATTTTATATTCGTATGAAAAATCCATATTGAAAATTTTACACTCTACAACCAATATTTAATGCAAATTAACCTTTTGTTTCCCAATATTTTGGATTATAATTTTATGACAATGACATTTTCGTTTTTTTTTTGGGAAAATCTCTTCCGTATTATGAAACACATGTATCATATAACAAACATTATTAATAACATTATTTTTTTGTGTTTTCTTTAATCTCTTTGCATGTCTCTCTCTCTCTATTTCGCTGTCTCTCGATATTTGATTTTGTCTGTACAGTTCTATATAACAAAAGCTACACTGCGATATGTTGTTGTTGATTTAACATTCGACATTAACGGTTTGGTTTCTTTGATTTCTCTCTCTCTCTGTCGCTGTCTCCCTCTCTCAGTGTGAGTGTGTGTGCGTGTGCCTGTTATACAAAAGGAAGCGAAATTACAGAGACGAAACACGGAAAATAAATAACACGAAAACTAAAATAGAAAGCAAAAAAACGAAGGATATATCACTGCGTGTATTGTTTTGGGTTTGAACCTCTATTGATTTAATTGTTGCTGCTAACTATTTGCTGCCATTTGAGAGAATAACCCATCACTCAACAACTACCTACAACGGAAGAGAAGAACCAAGAATCGTTATATTATTGTGTTTGTGTGGGTCGTCCGTCGTTTTTTAAACCCAGTTGTTAGTTTGTTCGCGGTTGGTTGGCTTATCGGTTCAGTGACAACGATTCGTGCTTGATTTGTAATTTTCGAAGATATTATTGTTGGTTGCCTCAAACCGCCGTTTCCTTAATCCGGTAAAGAAAACTTACTGCAACTACAGCAGAAAAAAAGAAAAGAGAAAAGAAAACCACAAAAGTAAAAGAAACAAAAAACCCACAACAACAACAACCACAAAACAATTAGTTAACAATGTCACCCTTTATGGAAAGAACATTACTTTTGGTTGCCTTCCTGGCATGCCTGCATGGTAAGTACCGATACCCCTACGAAACGAAACCTAGTTATACTAATGTAATCAGTTCACTGTGAATAGCGTAGATGTGTAACACATAATAGAGTAGGGTTCACATTGTGTGGTCAATGGGGAATAACATTAGGAATTCCCAACGGGGAAAGTAGGACAATTAAAAAGGACTTTTAGTGAAACGAATTGATTTAATGAGATTTGGGAAAATAAAAAACAAAACATTAATCAGTGTTAGAGGAATGTAAATTACAAAGAATATTTAGGGGGGATTTTTATGATTTTTGGCCAGTAATCACACTAAAGTACATGAATAGTTTATGCAGTTGCAAATGCATTGTTGTTGCTGTATTGGCCACAAATCTTAAGGGGGCTCCTAAGCTGGCACACTAAACACCATGAAATCTATGTCAATTGATTATGCAAAAGAATAATTATGCCAAATCAAATATTTTTGCTTAAATTAAATGCAATTTAAAAGCAATTCCAGCAGAATATATTATTCCATTATTACTTCCATTTAAGTAACTGTAGTAGAAAATAAGACAGCAAGTTCTGAAGTGATTTACTGAATTATATATTTTATTATTACATATCTATCGCTTCATATAGACTTTTTATATAAATGTTTTGAGTTTGAAAGATACCGATTTTTGTAAAGATATAAAGTTAAAAGGTAAATATATATAGATAGAGAATCCTACCAGTGTTGACCGGCTGAAGTGTTTCGTCTTTTTAATATTAATTTTATATGTGACATAAAAAAGTTATGTCTTTGGCCAGCAATTCTATGTGTGGCTAGATAGTTTTATAATGGCGTGTTTTATTAAGAACAAAAGCTGTGTTTAGTTTACATGTAAAAATGTCTTGGGGTTGGAGCTATGTTTAGTTTTAAATATGAAACGTGGCAGAATTAAGAAGGTAAAGTCATGCAACCAAGTGTTTACATTTTTTTTTTTTTAATTTCTCTTTTATGAATTTAGGATAAAAATACAGGTAGATGCATCAACGCTAAAGAACATTGCTATGTCAACATTTTTATTTTTTTCCCAAATTTAACGAGATTTTTATATGTTTTCTTATATGTGTGGCTAGATAGTTTTATAATGGCGTGTTTTATTAAGAAAAAAAAGCTGTGTTTAGTTTACATGAGAAAAAGTCTTGGGGTTGGAGCTATGTTTAGTTTTAAATATGAAACGTGGTAGAATTAAGAAGGTTAAGTCATGCAACCAAGTGTTTACATTTTTTTTTAATTTCTCTTTTATGAATTTAGGATAAAAATACAGGTAGATGCATCAACGCTTAAGAACATTGCTATGTCAACATTTTTATTTTTTTCCCAAATTTAACGAGATTTTTATATGTTTTCTTATACGAAGCAAATCGGAGGTTGCTATGACATACATTTTCAACAATTTTTATAAATTTATATAAATTATACCAGGTTATAAATCCATTGAATATACACAAACCAGAGATGGGAATCTGTTTTTTAAGCAGTGAAATTTGTCAACGTAAATTATAGAAAATTCAGAATTTTGGAATTTAAAATTTCTTAATTTTTCAGTAATTTTCAATTTAAATTTTAATAGTCTAAACAAATTAATTTTGGTCTTACAGGAATTTTAGGTTAATTTAAATGGACTCTTTTTATACCCATACCCACCATAGTATGGAGGGTATATTAAGTTTGTCATTCCGTTTATAACACCTCGAAATATACATTTTAGACCCCACAAAGTATATATATTCTTGATCAGCATAAAATTCTATGTCGATTTGTCAATGTCCGTCCGTCTATCAGTCTGTGGAAATCACTCTAGCTTCCGAACGAAATGAAGTAGGTTAATAAAATTTTACTCAAATGTGTACTATGTCTGCAGGACTTTTGGTATTGAAAATGGGTCATATATAACGGTACCCCCCAATATTCAGTATTTTGATGATTTTAGCGACATTATTTACCGGAATTGTTTCAAATTTCGCATTTGAAGTTCGTAATAAATACTACAGCCTATGACAGAAAATTGTCTGTGCAGGTCCACGTCTTCGTATAGCCCCCATATTACGGTACACCCCGATATTCGGTATTTTGATGATTTTAGCGATATTATTTATCGGAATTGTTTCAAATTTCGCATTTGAAGTTCGTGAAGTTCGATATAACAGCCTATGACAAAAAATTTTCTGTGCAGATCCACGTTTTATAACCACCATGGTACCTCCCTATATTCGACGATTTTGATGATTTTAGCTACATTATAAACAGATTTTTTTCAAGTTTCGCATTTGAATATTGTGATATAAGTTGCCTTGTGACAAAAGTTGCTCATGTCCTAATTAATTCTTATTTTTTTGAACAAAGCTTGTAGGCAAACAGATGAGTGATCATTAAACTGTGTTTAGTTGGCACAAATATGTTTTGTATGAAGAACCGACCATTATTAGTTGAAAGAATATTAAATTTCAGAAAGAACGGGAATGAAAACTTAATACTTCGATTATTTCTTTCCCCCTCTAATCACAAACGCAGTTTTATTGTATCAAAATCAGGTCTTCGTCATTAAAAAAATTATGCAGCCACATGGAGTATCCCTAATCGAAAGAGTTATAGAAAAAATATAAAATGCCGTAAGGAAAGCCATTGTAAAATTGGAAAAACAAGAATTATTTTAGAAGTCAGAAAAATTCAATAATTTACTCCACCTTCAATGAAATCCTTTCAGTTGAGGACTTTATGAGTGAGCACCCAGAAGAAAGCCTATATGAACTGGCAAAATTCGTAAGGGAAAGCAAAGCAGAAACTTAATTAGAAGACACATAGAAAAAGTCTATAAAACTAGTTTTGGCCATTGTAAAGGATTGCTTGCAAAGACTGTGGGCCATTTTCACCTTTCTCTATGTCAAAATAGACAAAGGCATTGGCAAATAGAAAAAAAACTATTATCGTTAAACTCTGTTATGCATACTAAGAGGAGTTCACATGCAATAGAATGATATTAGTACAATGACGTTTACATGCAAATATTTGCGTGGGTTAACCCCATGGAAGAAGAATATTGGGATAATGAACTGTCAAACCAATCTTGGAATTGAAAATTTTCAATGAAAAAATATTGAAATTTGTAAAAATTGTCAAACCCATCTTGGAATTGAAAATTTTGAATGAAAAAATATTGAAAAAAAACAACCTTCGTATAAGAAAAGGAAGAAAAATCCACATATTTTTGGCAAAACATTTTAAAAATTTTGGCATATCAATCTTAAAAGTTAAAGTACATTTACATACCGGGGTAACCCTTTACTCTGTCCATGGTAGAAGAATACAGGTAGTCGCTTCGACACAGCTGCTGGGACAATGAAATGTCAAACTGATTTTGGAATTGAAAATGTTGAATGAAAAATTATTGAAGTTTAACAAATTGTTGGAAAATGCATATTATAACAACCTCCTATTGGCGTCGTGTAAAGAAACATTTAAAAATCTATTTATTTTTGATAAAAAATTTAAAAATTTTTGATATATCAATGTTCTCATGCGTTGATGCATCTACCTGTATTCTTCTACCATTGTTTACCCTTATAATTAAATTACGCTTACATACATATTTTTTTGGGGTTAATCCTTTACTTATGTCCAATAAATCTTAATTTTTATTGAACAAAGTTTGTAGTATCTGTCTCTGTGATCATTAAACTGTGTTTAGTTGGCATAAATTCACACCATATAAAGAGCATTCACATCTGACATTTGTACGTTGAAAGAAAATTAACTTTCCGGAAGAAAATTTATGAAAGCTTAGTACGCTTCTTATTCCTCTTCATCTTAACCACAAAATTAGTTTTATTGCAATCAAACTTTCTATGTGAGTCGTAAGTCCAAAAATAAATAATCATTGAACTTTGTTTAGTTAGCGTAGGTGGTGTGTATATTAAGGGGAGTTCGCATGCCAACAATGCATTGTATAATAATATTAGTAAAACTGTTTTGCATAGCTTTATATATTGCCTTTTCTCAAACGTCTTTTTCTTATGAAATAACTGCAGTAATGGACTTATAATTTTAAAGCCGGAACCAATAAACGTTGAGTTATATAAAAATATCTCCAATAGACACAAAAAAGGCCAAAAAATAAATTTTGTAGTACGATAACGTCATCTCGCGTTATTAATAGTCAATCTGCTATATTTTTCGTGTATATTAATTACCATTTTGATAAAATCACAGGTGACAATATATGTGTACTTCATTGACCACATACGGGTACAATGGGCGAAGCATTCAGTTATGTACGTGACACGTGTGCAATTATAAGTGAACAATAATTGCATGTTTTGTTTTAATTTTCTATTTTATTCCATTCAAACCGCCTAAGTGGATTATGTTAAAAATAGTCTGTCTTAACATAGAACACACGAAACATGTGGTAGACATTTGCCTGCTACTAAGCTTTTAGATTTTAGGGGGTTTTCGCAGGGACAAACGAAAATTATAAAAATATGTAGGGGGATTGAATTAGCAAAAGAGGATAGAGTAGAAAATTAATTAGATTTTTTAATGTTATCATTTCTTTGTGAATTACCAATAAATTTTTATATATTTTGTGTAAATAACTTTACTTGTTTTTATTTTCCAGTTACAACGGCTCTTATGTGCTATGATTGTAATAGTGAATACGATCGCCGTTGCGGTGATCCATTCGATCCCTATTCGATAGGTGAGGTTAACTGCAGCAAACAAGAGCCACGTGAACATCTTAAGGATAAGGTACCAGTTTTATGCCGTAAAACCGTACAAAAGGGTAAGTAAATGAAATTTTTTGAATAATTTGAAATAAACTCGATTTGATGTGTGGCCTGGTGACTTGAAAATACACTAGCAAAGGGGATTTATTTGTGGCAACTCTTGCAGCGTCTAGTTGTGTTATTTTCGTGTGTCTAGTGCTATAATAATTCTAATTTCTTTTTTGGGTTTATAGTGGTATTTCATAGTGAACTTCCTAATAAATTGTTAAATCGAATTCCGCCAGTTAAGTGGTTTGTGAAATTCTGTTGTAAAACGCCTTAGTTTTAATAGAATAGTGACATTTTATTTTTTGTCTGGCTCGCTGCACTTTCAGTGATTATTTTGTTTTGTTATCATTTTGACGTTTTGTCACTATTGTTCTTTGTGTTTACTGTTCTTAGATAACACTAGGTTCAGATTTCAGAGCATACTTTCAGGCGGTAACTATTTAACTATTACTAATGCTTTAACCCTTTAAATATTTTAACCCTTATACAATCATCAAATAAACATTTATTCCTTGATAATGGAATGTATAAATAAAGTTATAAATAAGTAAAGTTATAATAAAGACTGTACAGAACGTTTGCTGACTTAAGGTGCAAATACATAAAAAGCTTGAAGTCATGGCTAGACATATTAATGTCAAATTATAATGTAAAACGACGGCAGGATTTTAGTGCGGCTCTGTAATCCCTTTATGAAATGTCACAAAATATGCCTAGCCATGACTTCAAGCGTCTTACGTACTTACACCTTCACTGGTTGTACAAAAATCATGAACATTTGAAATACTTAGGTCTTAATGCTAAGCATTTTGATGTCATAACTGATCGCAAGTATGGGCTTCCATGGTCATGCTAAAATTGTCGGTCCCTTGTGGTAGAATTTTATCGTCTCTTCAAGGTGTCTAAAATTGAATTTGCTGCCATGAAGAAGGAGTTTAATTTATCGATAGTTCCAAATTTGAAATTCTCGAAAAAATGTTTAAACAATTTTGAATGCGCAGATGGCTCACCGAAACGTAAAAAAATCTCAGCTCTTGGTGTTAAAATAATATATCTACAGGCGAAGCGCTCGCTTGAGGTGATCGACACTTTGGTATTTTTTAGTGCCAACCTTGCTTTCCGAAATACTCCAGACACAATAGTGCAACGGGTTGGTATCCGGAGATATTGGTGAATATTGTGCACTGGAAATGAAGCGAGGAACCTCATTTTGTAACCATTCTTGGGTCCTGTTGGAATGCCCGATGTCTGCGGCCAAAATGTTTGCGTGTCCAAGGCTTTAATACCTTCACCCTCCAGAATATATTCGCGATAATATTCGGCATTTATTCTGATGACACGGTCGATTAATACGAGCGGAGACCAACTATCGGCTGTTATGGCCGGCTCACACCATCACCATGGCCGGCGCTTGAGTTCTGGTGGCCAACCGAAGGTTCACATTTTCAGATGACCTCTTTGGCAAGTAAACATGATTATTTTGTTTGTTTACAAACTGCTGGGCAACGAATGTTTTCTCATCGGAGAAAACCAAATTCGGCAAAGCGAAGCAATTCTTTAGCTCTTTTGAGTCTATTTTATTTCTGTTGCGGTGTAAGTTCTTACAATTTTTGGAATTTCAATGGCTTTACTTCGAGCTTATTTTTCAAATTCTTCTTATACAGTGTTCCTACTGAGCATTGGAACAACGGACTCTATATTAATAAAAATATTACTTATTGCAGAACGCTCAATAATTAAATGAAAAATGTATCAATAATTTCTTTATAATTTCTTTGTGTACTTTGCTTTATTTATCACATTTTGTCATACTAGGCGTGTTTACAATGGACAACCACATGTAAGAAAAATTTAGAGCTGTGTTTAGTATGCACATATTTCCTAGTCTATAGGAGGAGGTTCATAGTTAGAACCATGGTAGAAGAATGCAGACAGTTGCATCAACGCTCAGAAACAATTGTCAAACATTTTTAAATTTTTTTTTTTTTAAATAAGTAGATTTGTATGTGGTTTCCTACACGACTACAATGGGAGGTTGTTATGATATGCATTTTTTTAAAAATTTTTACAAATTTGAATTAAAATTTTTAGTTCCAAAATTGGTTTGACAGTTCATTCATTAGAACTTAATGTAAAGATCAACCGGGTTCAATCCTGAAAAGGGTATAAAGTTAACGGTTTCTTTAAAATATTATGGTTTTTTAAAACGTTCGATAGTGTGTACGTGGCTTAATTATAAAATTTCACTTTATCCTCTGAGGTGTGTTCGCAATAAGTAAAATTTAGAGTTGTGTTCAGTATGCACACGTAATCATTGTCTATTAAAGGGGGCACATATGTAGAAGTTAATTTGAAGATTTTACTTTGTCGTCTGAGGTGCGTTTACAATGAATAAATTTATGTGAAAAAAACATTTTTAGCTGTGTTCAGTATGCAAATATGTTTCTTAGGTAATAAAAGAGGGTTCACACTTAAAAAGTCTTTGCCATGTTATAATAATCGAACAGGTCACATGGTGTTTAAGTTGCTTTATTTATCACATACCACTTTGTCACACGAGGTGTGTTCACAATGAACAATAATTTACAATTCATAAATAATTTCAAATTTAAAAATCCTTCAAGTGTTATAATTGTTATAACAATATAAGGCGTTCGATAGTGTGTACGTCACTTTATCAATAACATTTAACTTGTGTTCTCAATGCACAAGTATATTTGAGAGAAATCAAGGAGCTTTGTTCAGCATGCACATATGTTTCTTCTCTATTAAAGGGGGGTTCACAGTCAGAAGTATAATTTGAAGATCAAAAGCATGGTAGAATCAAGGAGGTAAGGTCATGCAATCATATGTTTACATTTTTTTTAAATTTTTAATTTGACAACATCTCGTTTTGACAAAATGTGTATTTATTAATCCATTGTACAGACACAAATCAGAGATGGGAACTTGTTTTTATGTAGTGTAATGTGAAAAGATAAATTTCGGAAAATCCAGAGATGGGAATGCTTATTCGAATTGACTTTACCTTCTTTATTTTACCATGATCAAAAGGGTTTCTTTGCATAAAATCGTTTTCTTAATATAACTCTATGTTTTTTTTTTACTTTTTCCAGTTTATGGTAAAGTACGCATTGTACGCGGCTGCGGTTATATACGTGATAACAACACAGACGATGGTGCCTGCCTTAAGCGTTCGGGTACCCATGACGTACAGGCAACATATTGTGCCTGCACCACAGATTTGTGCAATCATGGCACATCGGTGCTGAACAACAATAACTATTTGTTACACCTAATGCCCTATACACTAGCTGCCCTCTTCATAATGTTCTCGTGTAAACGTATCAATCTTCATTTGCAGCCAACTTCATAAATATTAATTTGCAACAACAAAAACAAAACCAAATAATAGCAAGGACCGGAGCTCTGCAAGCAGAATTAAGTGGAGGAAGAAAACAGTGCCAGCAGGAAATACAAAAAAAAGTAAAGAAAACGGAGATCAGAAAGAGGTAATAAGAGAAAAGCAAATAATACGAATAAAACTCAAAGAAAATAACAAAACAATTACACACAGCTAAGAAAGAAAAAAAAAAACAAAACAAAAACAAACAAAAAAACTAAGAAAATTTACGCTTGACGAAAACTAAAACAAAAACCAAAGATAATAAAAAAAAACATAAAAGGAAATAAATTCAAAAAACGATATTGATGACTATCTGAAAGTGGATATTACATAAAAAACAACAACAACAAACACAAAACAGAGCCACAAAGAAAAGAAAAACAAATTAAAGTAACAAAACAACAGCAAAGAGCAAAAGTACGAGCTAGCATTTGGTTTTAGTCTTGAATAATAATAAAAATAATAATAAAACAATACCTACGAATACTTAGTTAATTGTTATAATAATAATAATAAAACCAGAACAGAAGAAAACAAAAGAATAAGTATTCATCTTTGGTTCCGTTGGGGATATTCACAGCTTTCAGTTTGTATATTGGTTTTAAGACAAAAATTTCCAATTCAGTTTTCAAAATACAACTCTGTAAGTTGAGTTCATTTTTTTATATTTTTCTGTTGAATTACAATGATTTGATTTGTATGTGGTTTTGGGTGTGTGTCTAAGGAAGAGGATTTTCTTTCCATAAAAGTTGAAAAAAAAATATATTTAAAAAAAAAAACAAAACAATAGAAAAAACTGCCTGAAAATTAAATTTAAAGAACAAGAAACCAAACAACAACAAATATTTGTATTTGTATGTTACGATAATTATTAATGTATTTATTATTATTGTTTATTTTTTCTCTCTTAAATTAAGTCTTATTTTTAAGAAATTATGGCTTTTTGGCACTTCACTGAAATGTGTGCAAATGTTTGGAGAAAAAAGAAATGGAAAATGTGTTAATGGGAAAATGTGGTTGTAAGCTTTAAATTAATCTAATTTTTCTCCTGGAGGATATATATACCGATTTGGTCCCGTTATAAATAAATAAATTTCAACAACCACATCTAGTATCCAAAGATAAGAGATATTATTTAAATTTGAAAAATTGTAACAAAAAATTTCACTAGAAAAAATAATTATATTATCTGGGGTCGTTCATAGTTTATGCGAAAGCCATAAATATCGAAATCGTATTTGAAAATCTTTAAAATGTTATAATTTTCAACACTCCAGTGTGTAGAGTTGACCAAGTCTTTTCGATGTGTGGCCTGTTGGAGTAAATCGAATTGAGCTGTGTTCAGTTAACACATAAGGGCGGTTCACAGTCCAAGTATATTTTCAAAGCTGGGGAACATTAATATGTCAAACATTTTAAAATGTTTTTTTTTTTTCAAAAAAAGTAGGTTTTTATAAGCTTTCTTATACGACACAAATCAGAGGTTGTAATGGTATGCATTTTTCAACAATTTTTACAAATTTAAATAATTTTTTATTCTTAAGTTTCAATTTCAAAAATTTTTTGACAGTTCATTGTCCCAGCAGCTGTGTCGATGCGACTACCTGTATTCTTCTACCATGACAGAGTTAAATGTTATTTTTGTAGAGCTGTGTTCAGTAGACATAAAGTTTTTAAATGGTGTTCACACTCTATCAGCTGGTTTTGATTATATTTCGGCAAAATGCCATGTATCAGTATCCATGGTAGAACAATACAGGAAGATGCATCTGCTCTTGGAAACATTGATATGTCAAAGAATTTAAATTATTTTTTTTTTCAAAATTAAGTAGATTTTTATAAGCTTTCTTCTTTCTTTCTTTCCAATCGGAGGTTGTTATAAAGTGCATTTTTCAACAATTTTTACAAATTTGAATAATTTTTCATTCAAAATTTCAAATTGCAAAATTGTTTTGACAGTTCATTGTCCCAGCAGCCGCGTCGATGAGACTATCTGTATTCTTGTACCATGGTTCAGATTTAACAAAGTCTTTTCGATGTGTGGCCTGACAGAGTAAATATTGAGCTGTGTTCAGTTATCACATAAGGGGGTTCACAGTCCAAGTATATTTTACTATTTACTGGTGATCTTTATGATATTTTTATAGAGCTGTGTTCAGTAGACATACAGTGTTCTAAAGGGGGTTCACACTCAATCAACAGGATCTACAAGAAAATATCAGAAGAGTATTTTCATTAAATAAAATGTGTTCTTGTCCTTTTCAGAGACATATTTGGCTCAGTTCCCAATCCAATACTCTGTATTCAGTAGACATAAAAACTTCTAAAGCGTATTCACACTCAATCAACAGGAAAATTTCGGGAAAATGTCATGCATCAGCATCAGTAAAGTAATGATCATTAAGAAAATATCAGAGGAGTATTTTCATTAAATAAATCGAGCTCATGGACTTTTCAGAGTTGGATTTTTCCCAATCCAATACTCTTTTGTTATTGTCAAGTATATTTTATGTAAGACTCTACATAGCATTATGCTTTTATGATAGAGCTGTGTTTAGCAAACACAGAAGTTTTAAGGGGTTTTCAGATTGGTGTTATTTTTCGGAAAAATGACAACAAGCGATTTGGAAAACGTTCCAAAATTTAATATATCTAAAAAATTCTTATTAAAATTCATTTGGTAGTGCCCATAAATTATGGGCGACTCTAACCTTTTCGGAGTTGGAATTGTCTCAGATGCCAATCCAATACTCTTTTGTGATTGCCGAGCATATTTTATGTAAGACTTTATAAAGCATCGTGCTTTTTTTGATAGAGCTGTGTTGAGTTAACACAAGGAGTTTTAAAGGGTGTTCACACTCAACCAACAGTTTGAGGTTATTTTTTCGGGAAAACGTTATGAATTAGTTTCTGGAAACAGTAACAATTCAGTGTATTTAGTTTTGGTAAGGATCAGACGAGGATTTTCATTGGTCTTTTCGTTTTGAAAAAAGTTCCAAAAATTGGAATTATCTCAAAAAAAAAAAAAAAAAAAAAAAAAAATTATGGGCGGCCTTAGGCCTTTTCAGAGTTGAATTCGGCTCAGTTCCCAATCTAATATTCTTTTGTGATTGCCAAATATATTTTATGTAAGACTTTATATAACATCGTGCTTTTTTTTGTAGGGCTGTGTTGAGTAAACACAAGGAGTTTTAGAGGGTGTTCACACTCAACAAACAGATTGGGGTTATTTTTCGGAAAAATTACATGAATCAGTTTCTGAAAACAGTTACATTTCAGTATTGCACATAAATTATGGGCGACGCTAGGCCTTTTCAGAGCTGGATTTGAGTCAGTTCCCAATCCAATACTCTTTTGTGATTGCCAAGTATATTTTATGTAAGCATTATGCTTTGTTTTTTGATAGGGCTGTGTTGAGTAAACACGAGAAGTTTAAAGGGTGTTCACACTCAACAAACAGATTTGGGTTATTTTTGCTGAAAATGTCAAAAATCAGTTACTGGAAACAGTAACATTTGAAAAACGTTCCATAATTTTACTTTTTTGAAAAAAAAAAAAAATTTTTTCTTTCCGAAATTCTTTTCTCACATAAATTATGGACGACTCTAGGAAAGTCAATGCAAAAAATATAATAGTAATGAGTAACAAAAAAACTAAAGTTCCAATTAGGGTTCCCCACAATGCCATACATACATACATACACATAAAAATGGGGGTTAAACATTACAGATAAAAAGTGGGGAATATATAAACCTAAGATAAGGTAAATTTTTTTGTAATAAATCCAAAAAATAGACAAATTTTCAAATAAATATACCACACACACATTTGTTGCAGGCGCTCCACCATCCAAGGTGAAGTAGGATGAATGTACCCGTTATAATACTCGTAATACATACATACATAAACAAAATTATATCTAATTTGTAATTACAAAAAAAAAAACGTAACTCAATAAATTGTGTATTTAGTAGTAAATTGAACACTCTCTCTAAATGCAAGGACAACACACGTACAGAAAACATGCAGCATAACACAGTTTCTTTTTTTTTAGTTTTTTCAAATTACACTTTTCAATATTCAAAAAAAAAAAAAAAAAAAAAAAAAAAATTATAACTATTTTTTTTTTGAATTTTGTGTTTTTTCTTCATTTCTATTCTAGTACTAATTACACATTCAATTTCTTAATAAAACTGCAAAACAGTTTCACACAGTTTTTAACACTAACTCTCTCTCTATAATTCATCGAACTTAAATTTCTATGAAATCTTAACAGAAAAAATAAAACAAGAAAGTATAAAGAAAAAAAAATCCAAACGTACATATACATACAAAAAAAAAAAATAAATAAATAAAATACAGACGTTATTACCATAAGAATAAAATCTGAAAAAAAATATTTATAAATAAAGAATTAAATATCTTCCTATGACAAACCCATAAACATCAAGAAATACCATAAAATAAAAACCAAAAATCCAAAAAAAAAAAAAAAAAAAACGAAAGAAAGGATACATGTTAAATGTCATAGATTATATTTATTATTAGAGCAGGACAAATACTTATTTCAATAAAAATCTAAAAAAAAAAATCTTCTAACAAAAATATGTTTTTTTCTTTCAAAATTTTATTTACACATATTTCATGTCATAACCACATGCCTATATTACACATAAAAAACAAAGAATAAATAAAAAAACACTGCAAAAAAAGAAAACAAAAGGAATGCCTATGATAGAAAAACAAGTTTAAATAACAAAGGATATAGATAAATATTTTCGGAAATTTATAAGTGCAATTATATATATGGGAAAGATTAAGTATTTTTAAATTTAAGTTTAAAACACACACACACATTAAGTATTTTTTTTTAATTTTAAATGGTATTATGTTGGTATTGTTGTTATAAGTTAAAAACATGTTGTTATAATTGAGCAGTATTCTATTTAAATATATTTCAAAACTAACAATGTTAAAATTTTTATCAAAAAAATGTTAAGTTTTAACGATACAAGGCGAAATTTGTCCTTAAATTTAACTAAAATACAACAAAAGTGCTAAATTTGCATTATTCAAATAACAATTTGTTGAGTGGCCAGGCCCCTTCATAACTAAGCTTTAACATATTGCAGTGTGTGAACATGATCACAGCACAAAACAATTTTCTTATCTTTTTCTTGTAAAAAATCTTAAACTAATAACGGGATTCACATGTTTTTTAAAGTGTCCTGGCCACATATCGATTTTTGATATAAATTTTAGTAGAATAATCATTATTAACTAAAATTTACTTTATAGAGCATGTGAACGCCTTTTTAGGTTTCAGAACCAGAGAGAAAAATAAATAATTATTCCAAATTCATTTAAACTATTTAATTTGATGCGTGGCCAGGACATTTTATGATGCATGGCTCTCATATTAAAGCAGGTGATCCCCATTTTAGATTGCAGAACGTGAGAGAAAAATATGTAATTAGTCTATAAACATTTAAATTAAAATTTGATATGTGGCCAGGACACTTTATGGCTCATAACCTCCATATTAAAACATGTGAACTCCTTTATACCTAGAGAGAAAAATAAGTAATTACTCTACAAAAATGTAAACTTTAATTTGATATGTGGCCAGGACACTTTATGGCTCATATCCCTCATATTAAAACATGTGAACCTCTTTTATGATTGGAAACCAAGAGAGAAAAATAAGTAATTATTTTACAAAAATGTGTACTAAATTTGATATGTGGCCAGGAAACTTTATGAAGCACGACGCTCATTTTAAAGCATGTGAACCCCATATTAGATTTCAGAGCGAGAGAAAAAAATAAATAATTATTCTACAAAATTTTAAAATTCCATTTGATATGTGGCTAGGACAATTTATGGGTTATAGACCTCATGTTAAAACATTGGATACCTAGAGAGAAAAATAAGTAATTATTTTACAAAATGAGTTTGATATGTGGCAGGACTCTTTGTGACGTATGACTCTCATATTAAAGCATATGAACCTCATTTTAGATTGCAGGCAGAAAGAGAGAGGGAGAGAGAGATAAAAAAAATAATTATTTACAAAATATTACAGTTTGATATGTGGCCAGGACACTTTATGGCTCATAACCCTCATGTTAAAACATGTGAACCCCACTTTTAGATTGCCGAACAAAAGAGAAAATGGTCGTGTTATATTCACGAACTTCGTACAATATCGTTTTTGGCTATGTTCAATAGTCACAAAGCAACTAAGTGGGTTCACATGCACATTCGTAAAACAATATGGAAACCCATATTGATAATATTTACATCACAATGGTAGAATGAATGCTGGATTTTTGGCTAGGTCCTTTTTCAAAAATAAAACGTATAAACAAAAAGGCATCCGGTTTTTCTTTTAAAAAATGACTTCAAGTAAACCGGTGTAGTCTGTGTTGAATAGTTACAAAGTAAATAATTATTCTACAACAATTCAAATATAAATTTGATATGTGGTCAGGACACTTTATGATGCATTAACTTTATATTTAAACATGTGAAACCCATTTAAGTTTCCCGAACGTGAGAGAAAAGGCTGTGCTATATTCACCAACTTCGTACAAGATCGTTTTATGCTATGTTAAATAGACACAAAGAAACGAAGTGGGTTCACATGTACCAAAATAAAATTTATTGAAACACATATTGATAATATTTACAACAAAATATTGGAAAATCTGTTTCATATGTGGTTTGGTTTTTTTAACTATAAATATCAAAAATGAAGACCAACGGAGCCGTTCATTGAACACAAGGAAAATAGAAAATAAATTCATTTATTTCGTGCAAGATCTTTTTGGGCTATGTTAAATAGTCACAAAGAAACTAAAGGGGGCTCACATGGGCAGCCGTAAAAACGATGGGAACATATATTGATAATATTTACATCACAATTTTTAACTATAAATCGCATAAAGCAACGTCAAGACCAAGAGAGAACGATGACTTTTTTTTAAGTCATTTTAGCTGCGTTCATTGATCACAATGGGGTAAATAATTGAATTAATAGATACTCATTCTATAAAGTCGTCACAAAGTTATTGGCATAATATAACAAAATGCCGTTGAATTTTTGACAAGTGAGTAGCAAAAGAAACATTTCAAGAAAACTGAATTTTTCCATTAATTTTTTTATTAAATTTTATATTTTCCTTTTTTTACCTCAAGGTCACACAATGACAAAATTCTCGTTGCCCTTTTCAATATATTGCATGTCTTCAACAAATTTTATTGTTGCAAGAAAATAGCTTTTTTCTTATATGAGGGGTGCCGCCATGGCAACAAATCGTCTGGAATTTATGACTCAATGGAGACAAAGAACGACCTTTTAGGAAATATTTAATTAATAATAGTTTTAATGTGATTATGAAAGCTAAAACGAAACACACACATAACAAATTCAGTGGATTTCAACTGTCAATTCCTTTGCGTATATGTCAAATGAAATCCCATGGCTTTGAAAGTCGATTTTATTTGACTTATTGATAGTTGAAATAAGCACGATTTAGTAAGTGTAAACGTACCTTAAGCTAGAAGCAGTGAATTATCAAGTGTGTTATGGGAAATTTTGATCAGTTGATTTTTTAATGTCTTCTGATCGATCCCCAAGTTGGAGTGATAATGTGATGTAATAAAATTTGAGTTCGAGATTGCCAGATTATTTGTATTTGACAAATCGTTTGTCTACTCACTCCACTGATTTTAGGTCTCAACCGCAATTTTCACTAAAAGATTTCGTATTTTGGAAAATATTTTGGAATAATATGTTTCCCTTCCTTTTTTGCTGTCAGCTGCCTTGGTTTAAATCTACATGTATTTACAAATGAACGTTTCGTCCAGAAACTGGATAGGTTCTTTTTACCATTTTTGAAATGCAAATTGATTTCAATTACAGCTGATCATAAAGAGCTGTGTTTAGTAACCACATACTTCAAGTAAGAGGGTTTCGCACTGCAACTAAGGGGGTTTCGCACGTTTCAAATACAAATGCAGAAGAAATATTTCTCATCTTTTATCAAACGCCTTGTATTCGTGGCTTTTTATTAAAAATTTTAGTTGTACATAAAAGATTGTCAAAATGTGTTATTGTTTGTTTTTTTTAAATAAATTTAATAATAAAGAAAATATTTAAATAAATTATACAAGAAAAAAAAATCACATTCCACGCCATAAAACATTCATTGCAAAAAAGAAAAAAAAAACGGATATGTATTGTTTGTTAATGGTCTGTCTTACAAAAAAAAAAAAAAAACAAGAACTAAATAATACTATAAAAAATAATATTTCAAAACTAGAAAAATATATAAATTAAAAAAAATAATAATAATACAATAATAAATCAAATCTATATGAAAAAAAGAGAAAAAAATAAAAACTTCATTAACTTGTAGATAATCTATTTAATTTTTAGTACATAAAAAACCGAAAAACCAATTAATTATGTTAAAAAAAACAACAAAGAAAATTAAACACTAGCCGAACAACAACAAAAAATCTCATATTTATAAATAATAAGTAAGAAAAAAAAAACACTAAATAAAAAAGTTAAAATGATAGACAAAAAGGAAGAGTTCTTTAATAAAATAATAATAACAAATACTTAATATAAACTTTAAGAAATTAATGACAACTCTTTAACTAGATAATATGAAAAAAATATAAGAAAATTAAAATAAAATTTGTTAAAAACAAAGCAATGAGTTAAAGAAAAAAAACAAACTTAAAATTATTAATTATATTAAATGCAAATTCCCCCCAAAAAAAGAAATCATTATTACAAATATATATTTACGTGTAACAGGACACGCTTAAAATCATCATTTCATACACTCCGCCCCTCCTTGGAAAAGAACAAAAAAAAAACAAACATTATTTAAACTATTTACGCATAAATAAACAACAACAACAATAAAAAACACATAATGCGTAAAACCATATCATGAGCTTTGCTTAAAAATCAACTTTTTGGTCGAACAAATACTTAAAAGAAAACCATTAACCAAACAAACAAAAAACAAAAAAACGCAATAATCAAAAAACCAAAAAAATTGCTAAAAAATATTTTTAAAAACCTTTCCCCAACAAAACTAATAAAAACAACAACAACAAACAAAATGCAACAACACTGCTACAAAAACCCAACAAATTTGTTCGTTTTTTAATTTAAATTTAAATAAGTTTTTAACAAAGACACTCCAATAACCACTCCAATAAATTAAAAAAAAAAATGAAAACAGAAAAAGAAACTGACAAGCTTCGACAAACGAGATCATCACCAGTAAACAAGAAATGACAAAACATACAAAACACAGCCGGAAAATGCAATTCCGCACACACACTCTCACACACAAGAAATACAACTCTGACACCAAACCAACCAACCAGACAAGCAAAACTATAATTTCAAACAAAAAAATATAAATAAGAAGAATAAAAGAATACCGAAAAGCAGCATATTTTACTTTTCATTCAGTTTGTTTATGTATTAGTAAGTAAGTCTGTAAAGCTCTGCTTGTAGAAGAACTCAATAAATGATCAAATAAAGGAAAAATACTAAAAAGGTTAAAACTTTCACAAAAACAACACACAAAACAACAAAAAAAAAAAACACAAATCATGTTTTATTTGACAATGTGAAGAAAGAGAGAGAGAGAGTAAGTAGAGATGTGTTCATTTGGATTGATTGCAGTTGTTTTTTTAGGAAGGATGTGTTCAGTAAACACAATGTTTAGTTTGGGGGGATACACGAGCAAGAACTACAAGGGGATTTCACATGTCTTAAAATAGGGAAAAATGAAATTCATCATTTATTTCATCTAAATTCTATTTTAAATTAATCCAGAGGCTCATTTCTTGTTCTATGAAAATGCGAAAACTTTTATAAAGAAAATATATGTCAAATGAAAAAAATTATAAAGAATTATGTTGCAAAGTACATTTAAATATGTCTTGATAAAATACGCAGTCAGCATTTTTTTTTTAATTTTTTAATCACATTCGAGTATTTTTTGTTCCTGTTGCGCGACTAAAAAGCTGGAATATGAGCGCATATTCTGATCATAATAGACACATTTGTTGGGAGAAAAAAAGTGACCTCCCGCGTGACTCTTCTAAATAAATCACATATGAGTCGTCCCATGGTAGAAGAATACAGGTATACGCATAGACACAGCTGCTGGGACAAAGAAGTGTCAAACCAATTTTGGAATTAACAATTTGGAATGAAAAATTATTAAAATTTGTAAAAATTGTTTAGAAACACATATTATAATAACCTCCGATTAACGTCGCATAAGAAAACATATAAAAATCTACTTATATTTGAAGAAACTTTTTCAAACTTTTTTTGACACATCAATGTTCCCAAGAGTTGAGGCATCTACCTGTATTCTTCTGCCATGAGTCGTCCTCTAGATTAGTTAGAAAAGTCTTTTTCTACCATTTTCTGATAGTTACATTTTTTTTCGAATCGTATCCTAATCACTAATTGCGCAAATACTCTTACTTGGTGCATTTTTGTGAGTCTTATTTAAACAATTTTTTGATAATGTATGTGTCCTTAGTGAGTAATTTATTAGTCTTTTAAGTATCATATATCACTCATATGTACAGGGTGATATAAAAAAACTGCAACAAAGTCAAATGCCATAATTTTGTTTATTTTTTTTTTAAATTGCATTGAATGAAAGCAAAACTTGTCGGAAATAGCAACAAATTTTAGAATAACTTTAGATTTGTTCGACTTCGTTACCTTTGGCACCAATTATGGCCTTCAAACGGCCAATGAAACCTTCAAACGCTGCCTGAATATTGCTATGCGGTATTTTGGCGAAGCGCTTGCTTGAGGTGACCGATACTTTGGTATTTTTTAGTGCCAATCTTGCTTTCCAAAATACTCCAGATACAATAGTCCAACGGATTGGTATCCGCAGATTTTGGTGGCCATTGTGCGCTGGAAATGAAGCGAGGAACCTCATTTTGTAACCATTCTAGGGTGGCGAGTGCTGAGTCCTGTTGGAATGTCCAAGGTCTGCGGCCAAAATGTTTGCGTGCCCAGGGCTTTAATACACCCTCCAGAATATTTTCGAGATTCGGCATTTATTCTAATGCCACGGTCGATTAATACGAGCGGAGAGCGACCATAGGCTGTTATGGCAGCCCACACAATCACCACGGCCAGCGCTTCAGTTCTGGTGGCCAACCGAAGGTGCACATTTTCAGCGGACCTCTTTGGCAAGTAAACACGATGATTTTGTTTCTTTACAAATTGCTGGACAACGAATGTTTTTTCATTGGAGAGAACTAATTCGGAAGTTCACCACTTTTGGTCAAGCGAAGCAATTCTTTAGCTCTTTTGCGTCTATTTTCTTTCTGGTGCGGTGTAAGTTCTTGCACTTTTTGGGATTTCAATGGCTTTATTCCGAGCTCATTTTACAATATTTGTCGAAAGGATGGATATTGCGATATGTTCAGCTTTCGGCCACTGCGACGCGGGTTTCGATCAAGTCGCTTCTTTACTTTTCGAACCATTTCTGCCGATGTTGCTGTTTTCTTCCGTCCACTTCCTTGACGTCGAGCTACGCTACCAGTATCATGGTAACGAGCGATGATACGAGACACAAAAGATTTATTCACATTTAAACGCTGGAATACTCTAGCGATAGCCACTTGTGGGTTTCCATCCAAATATAAAGAAATCACAGTATAACGCTTGAATTCCATCGCGAATAACTCTTTTTTTCTGGAAAATTCTCACCAAAATGCTTTTGTACGCTTGTAAACAATATAATGAGCTGTCACTGGAATAATTTTAACAGCTGTCGAACGAGTGGCTTAGAAATTACATCAGTCTGAAGTTGGTTGCAGTTTTATCATGTCACCCTTTAAACAACATTCTTAATTTCAATACAAGCCACTTTTTCTGGACTTGACATCAGGAAAACTAATCGGACCGTTTTCTTTTCGTAACTCGGTGAACAAAATGTTTCTGAAGGATTGTGTGAACTTTGGCGTTGCTAGTGTATTTAAGATGAAAAATATCTGAAATAAAATATGTACAAATCTGTCCATTTTACTAATTCTTCATATAAGTCTTAAAAAGACAAACATACTTTTGATTACTTTCACTAAATATCACTTTTCCGCACTCGTCATTACACTGGTCCGTTTCCATCTGTATTGGCAGGCTAAATTATCTGAAAACCCCCCTTTGGAACGGTAAAAGCCCTAATTTTTAGCACTTTCTTGAGTTAAATTTGGAATTGGCTCAATAACCTCTTCAAAATTTTCTTCACGTTCCTGGACATTCTCTTCATTATTCTCATCAGTTCAGTTTTACTTCTTTTTTGCAAAATTAAATTTTCTGCCTCTTTTTTGTCATCTTTTTTATTTTAACATTTTCTATTTGACCTGTTCGCCCCAGGCGATTCGACTCTGAGTTCAATAAAGTCCAATAATCCAATACAGTATTTTGACCTAATATCCCTTGTTCATTTTACAGCTGATCATAAAAGGGATGTGTTTAGTGAGCATTTACTGCGAATAGGGCGTTTCACATGTTTTCAATTGAAAATGACTATGGAAAGCAATATATCTCATAATTTAGTGGATTTATTAAAACATTAAACATTTTTTTTTGTAAAAAATAATAAATAAATAATTTTCAAAACCTTAAATTAAAAATTTCTCCTTTTAATTAAATTCACGGCGTTTCGGGATTTTTACCCAATTGTGATGGGAATATGGCATTCTTGGCCAATTTAATGCTGCTATCTCGAAGTATACGCATTATGCCCTGTTCACCCCAAGTGCTATCGAACGAATTCAATAGAATCCAATAATCCTTGCCGGATTCCTCATCGGTATCGTAGCCAATGACAACCATAAAATGTGATCCTGTACTCCTGCTATTCGAAGGCCGATAGATACCCTCGGAGTAGTGCATAAATTCAAAAGAGGCTGGATTAAATTCAACCACCACCGGGAAACCGGCAGCCACAAAACGTTTCAGGGATTCATCATCGCCATCGGGTATCGAAGAGTATTGAGCCAAATTTGTAATCATTGGACCACGCGGCACACACATACCCGGTTCAGTTTGGGTGTTGTTGTTCATATAATCACCCTCGGTATGTAAATCCATGCCATATCGGGCCAAATAGTCAAAGGCAGTTTGGGGCGACTGACTCTTACAGCCTCTGGCTCCACCGGCACAATCAATGATATTTTGTGCCGACAAGGCTGGGGGATTGATATCACCATCCTGTTGGGCTTGCAGAATTTCTATGGCCTTGACGGCAGCATAGGCCCAGCCGCTGTTACACTTTGTGCCTTGATTTTCCACACTGAACATGTAACCGAAATTTTTGGATGGATTATAGGACACAGGAGCTTCTATTGTTTCCGGCCCGGGTTGGGCAAACGAGGTTGTGGGAGGTGTTACACTGGGAAACATGGCATTGAATTGTACCAAACGCATATCGGTAAATTGATTAATTTTCAGTTTAAATGTCCTTTGACCGCGATCAAACAAATTGTTGTGATTCTCAATCATTCGCTTGTTATAGGCATAATAATATTGAGCCAAGGCCTCCGCAGCTGTATTAGGATATGTTTTTTGATACATTTGCTTAAAAAGGTCACAGTTAATAATTTTTCTGTTGCAAAAAAATAATTTTTTGCGTGCTTACCATGTATTCAGACCATTCCGCTGTGGGCACATGATTAATGGCCCAGCTGCCGTGGAAGGTGGCCAATGTTAAAATGGTTAATGCCAAAGCCAAAACGTAATTCATTTTCCGCCACTTGCCTAACTAATGCGACTAACCTCATGGCTGGGCAATCAAAGAACTTTTATAGCCAACCCAAAAATGTTGAATTATTTTCACTATTGTCCATTGTTTATTTAATAAACTAACCCATTTTAGATTAACGGCTGTTAGTGGCTGATTAGAGAGCGCGAGAGAGAGAGAAAGGGAGAAGAACACCATTTGTTGATTGGAAGTTGAAAACTCTGTAAGCATTTGTGCATCGTTGGGATCTTAAGTACAAATATCAACATGGCTGTGTTCACGGCTTAACACCTTGTCATACCAAAAGGCACGCTACATCTGGCAATAAGTTAGGTTATGCTTTAAAACACATACATATTTTTCCTAAAGGAATAACATTTGGATAAAAGAATGGAAGTACCATGAAACTGGCTGGAGAAATATTTCCATAAGTGAATTTGGTAAAGAGAGAGAGAGAGAGAGAGCGGGAGAGAGAATAATTTTTCTAAGCTTAATTCAATGGAATGTTATATAGAAGACAATATGAATAAACTATGCCAACTCTGAAGAGTATTGATCTACAGAAAGAATAAGTTCCCATAGAAGCAATTTTAATTGGCCTCTCCCGGATTTAAACTTGAGAGTACATAAAAGGTTTTTTTTGATTGGCTTAAATCATCGGCTGGCTTCTTCGTAGAGGAAAAGAGAAGTTTTAGGTTGACTTAGTTCGATTTTGGCCCTACGCTCCTTTGTTCTTTTTCGATGACTTAAGCCAGCCAAAAAAGCGTTTTATGTATTCTCACCTTAAAAGTCCGAGACTGTTTCCTTTGGGGCTATATAAAAGAGAAAATTGTTTGTTAATAAGCCTAGGACTATTGAGGGATTAAAAACCAATATTCGAGACGAAATTAATAACTTAACACCGGAAGTTCTGTGAAAGTCCAGGGAAAATGAGTTAAAAAGAGCAAATTTTATGCGAGGCAAAAAAAAAATGGCCTCCACTTGGGGAATATTATTATATCCTCAGTCATATGGCTAGAGAGGTTATACAGGGTGAGGTGAAAAAAACTGCAACCAACTTCAGACTGCTGTCATTTCTAGGCAACTCGTCCGACAGCTGTTAAAATTATTCCAGTGACAGCTCATTATATTGTTTACAAGGGTACAAAAGCATTTTGGTGAGAATTTTCCAGAAAAAAAGTTATTCGTGATGGAATTCAAGCGTGATTGTGTGATTTCTTTATATTTGGCTGGGAAACAACAAGTGATTCAATTCTGATCTTATTTTCAAAATATGTTCCTTACGTACTACTGAAACGAATCTAACTTAACCTATTCGCAGCCACACAATTTTTCTTATCTATTTTTATTACATGGCTGCTTGTGCCTTCGTTAAAGTGGTCTTGGCTACCTTCTGGCGCATCGATATCTGTGTGTGTGGGTCACGTCCTTTATTATTTTACACATTATCATATGCGACAGCGCACAAGATCACTGAATTCTACACATGTGATATTTTATCGCAAAATTGTTAGAATTTCCCAATGCCTCAAGCGAAAGTATGTACAAAGTATTTTGTACACCAGCATTGGCCGAAAAATGGCTCGTGCGCTGAATATATCGCAATATTCCATTCGGCAAATATTGAAAAATGAGCTCGGCGTAAAGCCATTGAAATTCAAAAAAGTGTAAGAACTTACACCGCAACGGAAAGCCAATAGACTCAAAAGAGCTAAAGAGTTGCTTTGCTTGGCCAAAAGTGGTGAACTGCCGAATTTGGTTTTCTCTGATGAGAAAACATTCGTTGTCCAGCAGTTTGTAAACAAACAAAATGATCGAGTTTTCTTGCCCAAGAGGTCAGGTGAAAATGTGCACCTTCGGTTGGCCAACAGAACTCAAGCGCCGGCCATGGTGACGGTGTGGGCCTACATAAGAGCCAATGGTCGTTCTCCTCTCATATAAATCGAACGTGGCATTAGAATAAATGCCGAATATTATGGGCGAAAATATTCTGGAGGGAGTATGAAAGCCTTGGGCTCCTCAACATTTTGGCTGCAGGCACTCATCACGCGACACCCAAAATGGGTTATAAAATGAGGTTCCTCGCTTCATTTTCAGCGCACAATGGCCACCAAAATCTCCGGATACCAATCCGTTGGACTATTGTGTATGGAGTATTGTGGAAAGCAAAGTTGGCAAGCACTTCGCCTGGAATGGGCCAAAATACAGCAGACCAACATCCGGGCAACGTGTGACGATTTCATTGGCCAATTTAAACAAATCTGAACTTATTTTAAAATTTGATGCTATTTCCGACATTTTTTAGAATCCAATTTCCCTCTTCGATTGTCAATTCAATTCTTTATTCGGCTCAACTGGAGCAATGTTTAGTGAGAAAGGAAACACAGCCGCTACGTTTGGACGTAGATTCAATTCCGGGTTTTATTTAAAAGTATATTCCTTAAGTACTACTGAAAATAATCTAATCTATTCTAATATTGAATGGAGAACATTGCAGGGCTGGCAGCTTGTCATTTCATTCAAGTGGTTTTGTACATCTACTGAGCGCATCGATATCTGTGCGTGTGGGTCATAACCTTTATTATCTCACACATCATCGTAAGATCACCGAATTGTTCATATGTGGTATTTTATGGCGGCTGGAAAATATGTAGTTTTAGAATATTTATTATTTACTGCTAGATTTTCCCAGCACCTCAGAGGCTCTCAAAGGTATATACAAATCTAAATAATTTTTTATTCAAAAATTTCAATTCCAAAGTTTGTTTGGCAGTTTATTGTCTTAGCAGCTGTGTCGATGCGACTGTCTATATTTTTCGATGACTTAAGCCAGTCAAAAAAAGGATTTTACGTATTCTCACCTTTAAGGCCCAAAACAGCTGATAATAGGGATCTATATTTATGTGTATCGATAACAATCGATATCACTATAAAGCCTTATTATCGCTCGCTATTAGAAATATTTACTCTGTTCCAGTACCTGCAAGAATCTACTAGTTTTCCAATATTCTTCGATATCGTAAAGAGAAAATCGGTTATCGTAGTAAAAACTTTTACATTCTTGCAGTTCTGGAACAGAGCAATTATTTTTAATAAATATATTAAAAATATTATTTTTTATTGTAGGTCATCATGTTTTCGTCTACTGCCAACAGTTTCTATCTTTTAATCTGGTGTAACCATCCGCTCAATGTCTAGTACATTTGTTTTGCTAACTTGTTAGCAAGCCAGCGAACAGCCATTACCTCGGCCACATTGTTTCAGCAAATATTTGTATAACAGTTTCTTCTAACACTTTCTTTTTTTTCTTGCAGACGTTAAAAGAAATGGAAATTCTTGGAGGCAATGTGAAGTGTCATTGAAAGGAAAGGTGCGATTTTCAAGACAAAATACCTAATGAAATGCAAATAACTCGTGTCCATCTAAGGCAGTACTTTGTTGTAATTTATGTTTTATTTATTTTTCGTTTTCTTTCATTATTTTAAACTATCAACCCAAAACAGTTGGGAAAATGGCATTTTTGGCCAACTTGATGGTTGACGATCTGCGTAGCCGTAAAAATCCTCGTTCACCCCATGTGGTGTCAAAGGAATTCAGGAGTAACCAATAATCCAAACCACTGGCCTTATCAGTTCCATAACCGATTACCGTCATAAAATGTGAACCCCTAGTTCCGGTCACGGGCGGTTCATAGATGCCCTCGGAATAATGCATAAATTCAAAGGAGGTTGGATTGATCTCAACAATCACTGGAAATCCGGAGCCAACATATTTTTTCAAAGCTTCATCATCATCCGCTGTGAGCATAGAGTATTGGGAAACACGCACTCCCACATTTCCTCGAACTAAACACATGCCAGCTTCACTTTGAGAGTTATTATTTTTGTATTCCGATTCGAGGAGCAGCGGCATGTCATACATCTTCAAATAATCGAATACGGTTTGTGGTACTTGCTTTGTACAAGCCGTTGTACGGCCAGCACAATCAATGAGCTGTTGAGCGGACAAAGGTGTGGGGACAGTGTTGCCTGTCTGGATGGCATTGAGAATTTCAATTGCCTTGACGGCAGAATAGGACCAGCCGCTGTTGCATTTCAAACCCTGATCTTCGGCATGAATTGTGTAACCAAAATTTATCGAAGGATCATAGCTGGGTGGTACGATGTTTACATTTGGAGGCGGCGAGGCATTCGTGGTTGTTGGTGCTGTCGCCACTGGGAACATGGCATTAAAGTGTATCAGTCGCATATCGGTGAATTGATTTGGGCGTAATTTAAAGGTTTTCAGACCTCGGTCGTATTGGCTATTGTGTGTCGACATCCAATTGACATTGTAGGCATAATAGAAGCGGGCATTATTTTCGGCGACGGCATTGTCATAAGTTTTGCCAAACTTTAGCTGTTAAGCAAAAATGGTAATATTTAAAAAAAGTCTCAAATTCGAACAAAGGCTTTAAAATTAAGGTGATGCTACATAAGCAGCTTAGCATTATGGTATGGAAAACATTTTTCTCGAAAGGTAATGCCTCCTGGCACGAATAATTGAGGAGAAATAATTCTTGAAGATGGCAACGCGAGAAGTTCTTTTTCGTATCTAGTGTAACCTATTTGTTGTTCAATTTGGTGCAAATTTGAAATGCTTTTGTTTGCTTTTTATAAAAATTTGGCAACTTAAAGCATCTTTTTTTCAGTATTAGGATTCGAATATATGTGTCGAATGTTGATAGGGCTCTGGAGCAATATGGACGTTTAAATTGCAAATTTCTGCAGGAAAATAAAATTTTTAGAGCACTCGGGAAACCTAAATTTCCTCACTCGGAATAATTTTCCGAGAGAAATGCTAGGGTCTAATTACCGAGAAGTTACGATATCGTAATCTCATGTTTGAATGGCGGCGTTCGATATCGAGTACTTGACATGGAAGTGTTGAATGCAACCATGCGAGTTTTTGGGTCTATTTTTGTATCGTATACGACAATTTAAAGTGTTATAATTCTGATTGGAGCATAATTTGTGCATTAATTCAAAAACAAAATGTAAGTTTCTTTAAAAATATTTAATAATTGAATAATTATTATGATTTCAAAAGTTGTAGGTCAAATTCAAACAAAATAAACTTCCAGCAAAATATTATTTTTGCCGATTTCATGACAGACCATCTTCATTTGTTAAAACCTGTTAAAGCCTCAGCTATGTGGCGAAAGGTATGATTTTCCGATTGAATGTATCAAGATGTTATTTATTTATTTTTGTAAGGTTTACACTGACCAGAAACATCAGGTTAAGAGAAAGTTATCCTTTAACAAAAAAAGGAAAGCGTTGGGGGGCTTTTCAAGGAAAACTGTCAAGTGCTGCCGAAGAGCAACAGTTGAGGTTGCTGGATAACTGCGCAGTCGAAGGTCTCTCATCGGAAAAAAAACGTTCGGGACATCAATGAATATCGACGAAATCCTCGAGAATATATTGGAAGACTCAAGCCATGAAGACGAGCATTTGGCTTCCACAGAAAAAGATGATTTGCCAGATTTTACTCCAAGCACGAGTGCACCTCGAAAACCTCAGCTATGTGACGAAAGTTATGATTTTCCGATTGAGTGTATCAAGATGTTAATTGATTTATTTTTGTTAGGTTTACACTGACCAGAAACATTAGGTGAAGATAAAGTTATCTTTTAACAAAACTTCTAAGAAGGAAACCGGTGGGGGGGCCTTTCAAGGAAAAACTGTTAAGTGCTGCCGAAGAGCAAATAGTTGAGGCTGCTGGATTAACTGCCGCAGTCGAAGGTCTCTCGTCGGTTAAAACGTTCGGTATACCAAAGAATATCGACGAAATTCTAGAGAATACATTGGAAGACTCAAACCATGAAGACGAGCATTTGGCTTCCACAGAAAAAGATGATTTGCTAGATTTTACTCCAAGCACGAGTGCACCTCGAAAACCTCAGCTATGTGGCGAAATATATGATTTCCCGATTGAATGTATCAATATGTTAATTGATTTATTTTTGTAAGGTTTACACTGACCAGAAACATAAGGTGAAGAGAAAGTTATCTTTTAACAAAAAAAGGAAACCGGTGGGGGGCTTTTCTAAGAAAAACTGTTAAGTACTGCCCAAGAGCAAATAGTTGAGGCTGCTGGATTAACTGCCACAGTCGAAGGTCTCTCATCGGTAAAAACTTTCGGTACACCAAGGAATATCGACGAAATCCTAGAGAATATATTGGAAGACTCAAACCATGAAGACGAGAATTTGGCTTCCACAGAAAAAGATGATTTGATAGATTTTACTCCAAGCACCTCCAAAGAAAAAATGACAAAAGTCACAAAAACAACACTTTTGGAAAAAAGTGTGGAACAAAATGTTCAATGGAGATCAGAGCTGAACGAATTATTAATTTCAATTCGTGATATAACAGAGAAATAACTTAAGATTAAGGAGGAAAAACATGTTTTGAATCGAAAATTTTATCGCCTCAAAAAGGAGGAAAATTCACTTCGTCATCATCCAATTTTGCAAAATTTCACTTTTTCACCAAATAAATAACAACATGATTTGTTTATTCTAAAAGATGGCAAATTTGACATTTTCAAATGTAACAAAATCGATCAATTCAATACTAAATTACGATCGAATGCAACAATAAATTCGAGTCATAATTCATGTCGATACGATTCTGCATTCGATAGCGAATGCCGTAAAAACCAGGGGCCTAAGGTTTTTGATAACAAACAAGGAAAGGAGAGGAAAACTCATCTCGAAGGTGTTATTTTTGATTGGGCTGATTAAAGAGGTAGCTTAAGGTCGCACTTAAATTCTGTCATCGTTCCTCCTAATAATTTGACATTATATGACATGCTGCGTTCGCAAACTGCCTATGTATCGTCACCTTAAATAAATTTCCACAGTATCACTTACCTTATAGTTATTCCATTCTGCATCGCTAACAACCACACCACAGCAATTGTCGATGGCCAAGAGGACCACAAGGGTCAAAATCCAATATGGTCTTTGGGAAAACATTTCTCTATGGCTCACAAAATTCAACTAAAATTTGTTTTCAAAACTACCCAAATTATTGCGAAATAATTATCTGCTTAAGGTGTGTTGGCAAGATAAACGGAATTTTATACATAATTTTGTAAACAATTTTATTTTGGCTGCATTTTATGATTTCCTCGCTTATTTTTTGGAGTGATAAGGGGATGCGATAAAAAAACAGTTTTTTATGATATTTTCTTGGATTTGTTAAGTTTTTTTATAACTAAACTAATTAAATAAAGTATGGGAAGATTCGGAATAAATCGACCAAAAATTTAAATCTGAAAGCAAGCCCAAAAGTTTGAAATAAAAAACATTTACTAGCAAACGGATACATGGAACCGAGTAACCAGTTATGAAACCTCAAGTAACCGGCATCGAAAAGCGACTATTCGGTTTTTAAATTCTCTTCAGTGACCTAACATATTTTATGATTAACAAAAAAACACAGGCAATTTTTGGGGGAAAATCACAAAAACCCGATTTATTGCTTGAGGAAACAAGTAACCGGTTTCGATAGCCCCGATATAGATTTTTATATTATTCAAATTTCTCTAAAATATTATTGATGAGCAAAGAAAAGCAAATGTGGAGAACTCCATATAACAGGCAACCAAAAGACGAGTAACCGGTTTTCTAAAACAAAAAACCGGTTCCTCAAAAGCGAGTAAGTGTTTTTTTTTAAATTATATTTTTTTATAATCTAATGAATGTTAAAACAAAAAAAAAAAATAAAAAAATTCTAAAAAAAAAATTCTTTCAAAAACCCAAAGTAGTTGCTTGAAAAATAGTGGTAACCGGTTCAAAAAATCCTATAATCGATTGTCAACTGGTTTAAAATGCTTTAGAAAGTTATTAATTAACACCACAAACGTAGATGGTGCGAAATCCCCGAGTAGTTTTTTTACAAAAATCCAAGTAACCGGTTACTGAAAGCGAATAGTCGGATTTGAAATGCTCTGTCATGTAATAATTTATTGTGTAATGAACAAAACACATAATTTAAATATAAATTTCGAAATATATGATTCTAAAACCGAGTATTTGCTTGATTTAAAATATGTAACCGGTTACAAAAACGATTTAACCGATTCTAAATAACTGATAAACATCATGGACATCAATTAATGATGAATATGCAAATAATAGGATACAAAAAAACCGAATAACCGCTCATAAAAATTCAAATAATCGGTTCGCAAAACCGAGTATTGGTACCCAAAACAAAGTAATCGGTTCTCAAAAATAAATATTCGGATTATAAATAATCTTTATAATCTTAATTTATTGAATGACGAAGAATAAAACATTATTGTAAGGGCAAAATTTGAAAATGTCTCTAAAAACCGGTTAACCGGTTACAAAACCTTCAAAATCGATTTTTAAATTGATCAAAATATTCTTGAAAATTATTGATGAATGCCAAAAAGGAAATAATGAGATTTATTCGAGTAGTCGGTTACAAGAAAATGAGTAACCGGTTACAAAACTAAAGTAATCGGTTCTTAAATTATCTTTCGTTTAAAAATATAATGAATTATGAACAAACAAAACACAATTACATAGAAATATTTTGAAAATTTCACCTAAAACCAAAGGGTTTTGAAAAGTTCTGCAGTTCTTTCATTAATTTCTTTTCTGGCATAAATGATTTATATTTAAAATTATGATCAAAGGGTTACAAATAAAATTCACATAATTCAAAACAATTATTCTTCTATGCCATTGTATTCCATGCTCAAATGCATCGCGTTGGCTTTGGCACGACAGGGCACTGTTAGACTGCTTGCAACTGTTTAAACATATCGTAAACTTGACACATGAAATGTTTTGAAAACTGAAATCTGTTGCAAATTACTAAAATGGCCGGAACAACACATATCCTATTAACAATGCGTGTAATACAACGATTTTAATTGTGTGTTAATTATTTACAAGGGAAAATGGGAAAAAAAAGGAATATTAGAAAAATAGCTACAAAATAAGGCGGGTATTAGGTTGGGGAATTAATATTTTTATTTTTTTTATAATTTTAATAATTTTTATATATTTTCCGAAATTTGCTACCATTACCATTTTTATGAGAAGTTTTTGATTAATATTTTAAATATTATAATTTATTTTCCATATTTTTATCACTTTTTCGTTAATGTTTAGGTTTAGATTTCAATTCCCCGAAAAGGAATTACCTTGATATTAACATTAGCCGAATATCTTCGTTATCACATTTTTTTTTAATCAGACAACACATACAGACACTTGAATAAATAGTTAAACAATTTTATAAAATTCTAAGAATTGCTGGGGATTTCAAACAGATTTGAGATAAAACTTTGATTTCTCTTCTATGGACAGTCGAATGTGGCGTACATGTCCACAATGGTTACCCACACAACAGTTTTTATACAATTAGTTTTTTCTTAACTTATTATCGAACCCTCCTCGAGACCGAAAGAAGGTTCCACACTATATTTATGACCGTTTTTCCCGCCTGGAAAATCTTCTATTATAAAGTAACTTCCGACCTATCCCAACAAGAGAATCTTTACAAAAAATCAACAAAATAGGAGAATTATATAGAGGGATATATTATGTCCAATATTATGGACTGACAGCCTCTCTATCTGATTGCCGTAATAACACACCAACTAATTAATCGGCCGGTGGCAAGTATTTGAAGACCTAAAATCCAATAGAAAATTCATTCACAGCTGCCACAACCTTCGTGTCGTTATTCTCGTCTTTTATGCAAAGGGACAAACGATTCTACAGATAATTATAATGCATGGCAAATTTAGCTCTACTGAAATTAATTAGACAAGAAGACAAGACGTCGAGAACAAGTGATGAATAAAAAGAGAACACCGTTCGAGGAGAAATGTGCATTATCTCCATTTTCAGAGGAACTAAAGTATATCAGAAGGTATATTTCATCTCTAAGAAGAACAAAAGGTCTTCTCGGAGAATAGCAGGAGGTCTGAAAAGAAGAGCAAAGGATCTTCTCAGAGAAGAACAAGAGGTCTTCTCAGAGAAGACCTTCTTGTCTGAGCAGAAGGTCTTCTCTGAGAAGAGCTGAAGGTCATCTCATAGAAGAGCAGAAGGTCTTCTCATAGAAGACCAGGAGGTCGTCTCATAGAAGACCAGGAGGTCTTCTCATAGAAGAGCCGAAGGTGTCCCCATAGAAGACCAGAAGGTCTTCTCATAGAAGACCAGGAGGTCGTCTCATAGAAGACCAGGAGGTCGTCTCATAGAAGACCAGGAGGTCGTCTCATAGAAGACCAGAAGAAGGTCTTCTCATAGAAGACCAGATGAAGGTCTTCTCATAGAAGACCAGAAGAAGGTCTTCTCATAGACGACCAGAAGAAGGTCTTCTCATAGACGACCAGAAGAAGTTCTTCTCATAGAAGACCAGAGGAAGGTCTTCTCATAGAAGACCAGAGGAAGGTCTTCTCATAGAAGACCAGAGGAAGGTCTTCTCATAGAAGACCAGAGGAAGGTCTTCTCATAGAAGACCAGAGGAAGGTCTTCTCATAGAAGACCAGAAGAAGGTCTTCTCATAGAAGACCAGAAGAAGGTCTTCTCATAGAAGACCAGCAGAAGGTCTTCTCATAGAAGACCAGAAGAAGGTCTTCTCATAGAAGACCAGAAGAAGGTCTTCTCATAGAAGACCAGAAGAAGGTCTTCTCATAGAAGACCAGAAGAAGGTCTTCTCATAGAAGACCAGAAGAAGGTCTTCTCATAGAAGACCAGAAGAAGGTCTTCTCATAGAAGACGAGAAGAAGGTCTTCTCATAGAAGACGAGAAGGATACAGAAGACCAAAAGGCCTTCTGTTGGAAGATTAGAAGGTCTTCTGTAAGAGCATCACATGGTCTTCTGTTGGAAGAATAGAAGACCTTCTTTTCGAAGACCAAAAAGTTTAAATTTTGAAGACGAAAAGGTCTTCATATCCAAGACCAGTAGATCTTCTTTTCGTAGACCTTCCTTCGGAGAGCAGAAACTCCAGAAGGTCTTCTTTTCGAAGACCAGAAGGTGGTCTTTTCGAAGACCAGATTATTTTTTTTTTTTTTGAAAACTATTTTCATTTTTGTGGACATAATCTTTATAATCTTCGAATCTAATTCGCGATGCAGCCACCTGCTTTGCAGGCAAAATCTCAAAACGTTAAGTACAATACAATCTTTCATTGTGATCGGTTACACGCTAACGGAAGAACGAAAATCAATAACACAGAGCCTTCTCGGATGATGGCCGATCAGTTTGTGGATAAGTGTACGGTGTGTAAAAGTGAATCTCTGGGAAGGTAATGTGCCAAGGAGTGAAAGTGGCAGTGACTGAATGACTTTCTTGCAGATATGTGAAATCTGTGGCCGCCATAGAGGCGGGGGAGACATTGCTGCTGGAAAAGCCGTTGCTCATACTGCCAGCCAGTGGAGATAAGAGATGCACCAATTGTTTTCGTTTTGCCCAGCAGTACTGTGGGTAGGTCAAGGCAGGATGAGGGGGAAAATTTTAAAGAAAGTCATCCAATGTATTTTTGTTTTTCCAGCAAATGCCTAATTTCTCCCCTGTGTTTGGAATGTGAACGCCATAGCGATTTTGATTGCAAAACCCTCAGCGACGTTGTCAGCTCAAAACAGCAGCCGGAGATCCAAGTGGAATTATTGAAGAAATATTTCGCAACCTACAACATTCTGAAATGCCTTTTGTTGTATGAAAATCCCGAAACCAGAGACTATTTTGAAAAAATGCTACAAATGGAATCACATCTGGACAAGAGACGCAACACTGCCGTGTGGAAGGATCATAACAGGGCTGTTATACAACCCCTCATCAAATCGAATATCGTAAAAAGGCTACAACTCGCAACACGCTGCAACGAGGAATTTCTTCAACACATCTGTGGCATTTGGGATGTCAATTCGTATGAAATTAGAGCACCCGATTCGGAGGGTATGCGTGCTTTATATTTAAATGCCTCAATGTTGGCACACAATTGCATCCCGAACGCCAATCAGGCAATCGATGATCAGTATCGCATCAAAATCTATGCCAATCGTGATATTGACAAAGACGAAATGGTCACAATCTCGTATACGAATGTTCTGATGGTGAGTGAAAGAAGAGGTGTTTTTTTTGTTTGGTTTTCTCGTTGCGTTTTTGTTGTTGTATTCTGCTATACTAAAATTAGGCAAATGAACTTTGTTGTGTGAGAGATCGAAAGTCAATTTTGTCAAATTGAAAAGGAAACAATTCAGTTGTATTTTGGGAAAAACGAGGCGGGAGATGTTTTTACAGAGACCCATGGGATTTTGTTTATGCCGGAATAGGATAGATGTCCAGGATCCCTATTCAGGGACTTTTTTAACATAGTTATTGTTTATTTATTAAAAAACAACTTAATTTCCATTATAAAAAGCTAAAGAAATTTTAACAAATCTTCAATCGATAAAAGTTACTAAGTCGACCTATAGACACCTTTTTATTTGACATTTTGATTTCTTCAAAATAATAAGAATAATAATAATAATAATAATAATAATAATAATAATAATAATAATAATAATAATAATAATATAATAATAATAATAATAATAATAATAATAATAATAATAATAATAATAATAATAATAATAATAATAATAATATAATAATAATAATAATAATAATAATAATAATAATAATAATAATAATAATAATAATAATAATAATAATAATAATAATAATAATAATAATAATAATAATAATAATAATAATAATAATAATACTAATAATAATAATAATAATAATATATAATAATAATAATATAATAATAATAATAATAATAATAATAATAATAATAATAATAATAATAATAATAATAATAAATAATAATAATATAATAATAATAATAACAATAATAATAATAATAATAATAATAATAATAATATAATAATAATAATAATAATAATAATAATAATAATAATAATAATAATAATAATAATAATAATAATAATAATAATAACAATAATAATAATAATAATAATAATAATAATAGTAATAATAATAATAATAATAATAATAATAATAATAACAATAATAATAATAATAATAATAATAATAATAATAATAATAATAATAATAGTAATAATAATACTAATAATAATAATACTAATAATAATAATACTAATAATAATAATAATAATAATAATAATAATAATAATAATAATAATAATAATAATAATAATAATAATAATAATAATAATAATAATAATAATAATAATAATAATAATAATAATAATAATAATAATAATAATAATAATAATAATAATAATATCCCCTGCTTTTACAGAAGAATATAGGTAGACGCATCGGCACAGCTGCTGGGAACAATTTTAGAATAGAAAATGTTGAATGAAAACTTATTTAAATTTGTAAAAAATTTTGAAAAATGCGAATTATAATAACCTCCGAATGACGTCGTATAAGAAAACGTGTAAAAATCTACTTATATTTTAAAGAACATTTACATTTTTATACCCTACACCACAAGGTGGTCAGGGTATTATGTCTTTGTGCATTTGTTTGTAACAGGCAAAAGGAAACAAGATAGACCCATAGTCCCTTTTGATGATCTGCATAGAATCACATTCTGAGTCGATTTATGCATGTCCGCCCGTCCGTCTGTCCATGTATTTTTGTAAACAAAGTACAGATCGCATTTATTTGCCCTATCTAGATGAAATTTGGCACAAATCATTTGTTTGGCCCAAGGACGAACCCTATTTAAATTGGAGATAATCGGTCAAAATTTGGATATAGCTCCCATATATATCTTCGTCCGATTTGCATTTTATTGTGCACCAAATGTGTAATATCAGCCCGAATAGTATGGAATTTTGCACATACAACCAAATTAAGCCTGAAAACAAGTATGCCAAATTTGATCGAAATCGGTTCAGATATAGCTATAGCTCCCATATATATTTTTCATCCGATTTGCTATTTTTGTCGTTCGCAGCCGTAATATGCACTCTGTAACAACAATATTTGGCGAAATATATCAAATACAGCTCAGAAATACATTTGCTAAATTTTGTCGAGATCGGTTCCGGTATGTCAAATTTGGTGAAGATCGGTTCAGATATAGCTATAGCTCCCATATATACTGTTCATCCGATTTGTCATATTTGTTACCCACAGCCGTAATATGCACTCCGTAACAACGATATTCAGGGCAATATATTAAATACAGCTCAGAAATATCTTTGCCAAATTTTATCGAGATCGGTTTCGATTTGGATATAGCTCCCATATATATTTTTATCCGATTTCAAATTAATTGTGCACCAATTGGGCAAAACAAGCCCGAATTTAAAAGATACAAATGCATCGGCATATTTAGTCCTTTGAACTTTAAATTATAATTATAATCATAGCGTGTATGCTTGAATTCTCCTATAAAAACTTTTAATTGTTATGCGGAGCTCTACTAAATCAGCAAAGTGGTGTAGGGTATCATAAAGTCGGCCCGCCCGACTTTAAGACTTTCTTTACTGGTTTTGACATATAAATGTTCCCAAGCGTTGATACATCTACCTGTATTCTTCTACCATGGGTAGTCGCTTCGACACAGCTGCTGGGACAATGTATTGTAAAACCGATTTTGGAATTGAAAATTTTGAATGAAAAATTATTAAAATTTGTAAAAATTGTGAAGAAATTCATATTGTAACCACCTCCGATTTGGATCGTATAAGGAAATATATAAAAATCTACTTATTTTTGACAAAACAATTTTAAAATTTTGACATAGCAATGTTCGCAAGCGTTGATGCATCTACCTATATTCTTCTGCCGTGAAATGTAAAGGTAACAAGTAAAATTGTATCGGTCGGTTTTGCCGATAGATTAATACCCCCAGCCTTAAGTTATGATTACTCAAACTGTTGACCTTTTATAGGGGGAGGTTCCGAAGCAGTTGGCCAATATTGACCAATTCCTATCCGAAGAGGTTGGCAGATATATATCATTTTCACAAGAGATCCTTCGTTACAAAATATATTTGGATGTGTGACATTTGAAGAGAGTCGGATTCCTATTTCTCTTTCTTTGAGCGTTTTGTTTTTCAAAATTTTGAACCCTATGTGGGGGAGGTACTAGAAGGAATGGTCCGATCTCTACCATCTTTATAACAGATCTTGTGTTTATGGAAATATTGAGATGTGACAAGTTTGAATGGAATCGGATGTTAATTTCGCGTTTTATGAGCTTCATGAATATTCAAAATTTTGACCCTTTGTGGGGAGAGGTACCAGAAGGAATAGACCGACATATGCCATCTTCACACCAGGCTTTAGGTTAATAAAAATATTGTGATGTGTGTCATTTGAAGAGAACCGGATGCTTATTTCGGATTTTATGATAGTCTTTGTTATTAAAAACGTTGACCATTTGTGGGGGAGGTACTAGAAGGAATGGTCCGATCTCTACCATCTTTATAACAGATCTTGTGTTAATGGAAATATTGAGATGTGATAAGTTTGAATGGAATCGGATGTTAATTTCGTGTTTTATGAGCTTCATGGATATTATAAATTGTGACCTTTGGTGGGGGAGGTACCAGAAGGAATAGACCGACATATTCCATCTTCACATCAGACCTTGGATTAATAAAAATATTGTGATATGTGTAATTTGAAGACGACCGGACACTCACATCACATTTTATGAGAGTTATAATTATTCAAAATGTTGACCCTTTGTGGAGGTGGTACTTGATGGAGTAGTCCGATATTGTCAATTTTCACACCTGACCTAGCATTGATGCAAATATTAGGATTTGCAAGTTGGAGCAAAATCGGAGTTTCCTTTCTCTTTCTGAGCAAAAAAATATATTTTTCTGAAATTTCGACCTTTTGTGGGGGAGGTGCTAGAAGGAGTGGACCGATATTGTCCATCTTAACACCAGACCTTGGGTTATTATAAATATTGGGATTAGTGAAAGTTGAAGAAAATCTGATTCTAAAATCACATTTTATGAGAGTTGTAATTGTTCAAAATGGTGGACCATTTGTGGGTGAGGTACTTGATGGAGTGGACCGATATTTTCCATTTTCACGCCTGACCTAGCACTGATGCAAATATTAGGATTTGAAAAGTTGGAGCAAAATCGGATTATCCTTTCTATTTCTGTGCAAAAAATACATTTTTTGAAAATTTCGACCTTTTGTGAAGCAGGTACCAGAAGGTGTGGGCCGATATTGCCCATCTCCGAACTCGATCTAAGTTTGACAAAAATATTACGATGTACCCAGTTCGAACCAAATCGGATACTCCCTTCGAGAGTTATCGTGCGCATCAGCCAGATAGACAGACGGACGGACGGACATCGCTAGATCGAAATGTCCTGAACGGATTTGGTCCAAATTCTCCGCTATCTCCCAATATTCGGTATTTTAATGATTTATGCGACATTTTTCAACGGAGTTGTTTCAAATTTCGTATTTAGAGTTCGTAATGCGAAATCCAGTCTATGACAGAGAATTGTCTATGCAGGTCCAGGTCTTCGTATAGGCCCCATATATCAGTACCTCCATATATTTGGTATTTTGACAATTTCAGGTACAATATTCACCGAAATTGTTTGAAATGTCGTATTTTAAGTTCCCAATGGGTACTACAGGCTGCGCTAAAGTCAAACGGCATAATTTCTACATTTTTTTAAATTTTATTGAACGAAAGCAAAAAATTTCGGAAGGAGCATCAAATTTTGGAATAAGTTTAGATTTATTCGAATTGGTCACCTTTGGCACGAATTATGGCCTTCAAACGGCCAATGAAACCGTCACACGCTGCCCGAATGTTGCTCTGCGGTATTTTGGCTCATTCCCGGCGAAGCGCTTGCTTGAGGTGATCGACACTTTGGTAGTTTTTAGTGCCAACCTTGTTTCCTTGTTTGGTATCCGAAGGTTTTGGTGGCCATTGAGCGCTGGAATTTAAACGAGGAACCTCTTTTTGTAACCATTCTAGGGTGACGCGTTCTGAGTGCGATGGTGCTGAATCCTTTTGGAATGTCCTAGGTCTGCGGCCAAAATGTTTGATGACCAAGGCTTTAATACAGCCTCCAGAAAATAGCGCTATAATTGAAAAAGTGAGAAAGGAAAAGCGGAACCTGAAGGTTCGAATGCTGTTCCAATTCTGATTTTATTTTTAAAATATGTTCCTTACGTACTACTGAAACTAATCTAGCTTAACCTAGTCGCAGCCACACAATTGTTCTTATCTATTTTTATTATATGGCTGCTTGTCCCTTCATTCAAGTGTGTGTGGGTCATATTCTTTCTTTTTATTTTACACATTATCATATGCGACAGCGCACAAGATCACTGAATTCTACACTTGTGATATTTTATCGCAGCTGGGAACTTGATATTTTGGAATCTTCATTTTTAATCGTTAGAATTTCCCAGCGCCTCAACCGCACTCAAAAGTATGTACAAAGTATTTTGTACAATAATATTCGGCATTTATTCTGATGCCACGGTCGATTAATACGAGCGGAGAACGACCATCGGCTGTTATGGCGGCCCACACCATCATCATGGCCGGTGCTTGAGTTCTGGTGGCCAACCGAAGGTGTACATTTTCAGCTGACCTCTTTGGCAAGTAAACTCGATCATTTGCTGATCAAACTGCTGGACAACGAATGTTTTCTCATGGGAGAAAACCAAATTCGGCAGTTCACCACTTTCGGCCAAGCGAAGCTCTTTTGAGTCTATTTTCTTTCTGTTGCGGTGTAAGTTCTTGCACTTTTTGGAATTTCAATGGCTTTGCGCCGAGCTAATTTTTTTATATTTGCCGAATGGAATATTGTGATATGTTCAGCTCACGAGCCATTTTTCGGCCACTGCGCCGCGGGTTTCGATCAAGTCGCTTCTTTACTTTTCGAACAATTTCTGCTGATGTTGCGGTTTTCTTCCGTCCACTTCCTTGGCGTCGGGCTACGCTACCAGTGACACAAAAGATTTATTCACATTTAAATGCTGGCCGATAGCCACTTGTGGTTTTCCAGCCAAACATGAAGCGCACTAAACCTTGAATTCCATCGCGAATAACTTTTTTTCTGGAAAATTCTCACAAAAATGCTTTTGTAGGCTTGTAAACAATATAATGAGCTGTCACTGGAATAATTTTAACAGCTGTCGGACGAGTGACTTAGAAATGACAGCAGTCTGAAGTTGGTTGCAGTTTTTTCATCTCTCTGTCTGTATTTGTCTACTTTGTTTATTTACAAGTCAATAACTCCCACTCTCTCTCTCTTCCAGGGCACCGATGATCGTCGTAACTTCCTGCGTGAGGGCAAATATTTCCACTGCGTCTGCGCACGCTGTGAAGATCCCACCGAATTGGAATCGCATATGAGCACCTTGATTTGTAATAAATGTGCCACAAACAAACAAGAGGGTTACATTTTGAAAATCGATCCGAAGACATGGAAATGTTCCAACTGCCAACACTGCCTGAAGACGGAACAGATTGAAAACATTTTAGAGAAAGTCAAAGAGGAAGTTTTCCACGCCCAAGATGACATTCGACATTTGGAATATTTACTCACCAAGTTGACAACACTGTTGCATAAGAATCACTATATCATTGTGGATGTTAAGCAGAATATTGCAAATATGTTAAGGACCATCATTCGGAATAGTTTGCAAAGGCCGGGACGTCAGTTGTATGAGAGGAAAATTCGCCTGTGTCAGGAGCTGGTGGTGTTGTTGCATATTATACAACCGGGAATATCAAGGCTGAAAGCTATTGCTTTGTACGAAATGGCAATTGCATCGGCGGAGCTTTATCGCTTGCGTTTTGGTGAAGATGAAATTAGTGCCCAGGAGCTGCAGGAATATTTGCGCAAATGTGAAGCAATGTATCGTGAATCAATGCGCCTCCTACTCTATGAACCTCCCGAAACACCCGAAGGGCAATTAGTTAAGAGTATAATCAGTGAGTTGAGAGATCTGCGCAGTGATATTCAAATTTTGGATAACCCCTTGCCGGAGCATGATGATGAATAAAGAGAAGTAATTTTTAATGAAAGAAAAACAAGTTTTTTAATTTTCCAGCAGAGATGAGGTTCCGTTATAACTTTGAATAAGAAGTTTTGGTTTATAGTTCCTGGAAGCCAATTCTTCTGTCCCAGAACCAGCAGGAATCTACTAGTTTTGCAATCTTTTCCGATATCATAAAAGGAAAATTCATGGTAGAATTAAGAAGGTAAAGTCAGGCTATCATATGTTTACACTTTTTATACCCTCCACCTTGGAAAGGTGGTATGCTGATATATTCATAATCAGCATAAAATTCTAAGTCGATTTAACGAAGTCCGTACGTCTGTCTGTCTGTTGAAATCACGATACAGCCCACATTATTTGACGCAGAGCGCCAAAATTTAGCAGAGCTTTTTGTGTTGTGTCTAGGATGATTGGTATTGAAAATGAGATATATCGGTCCATGTTCTGGTAGAGTCCCCATATAACGGTACCTCCCAATATTCGGTATTTTGATGATTTATGCCACATTTTTTCACGGATTTGTTTGAAAATTGGTATTTATAGGTCATAACGAGTCCCTGTGCGTGTGGCAAAGCACTGCATGTATAGGTCCACGTTTTGGTATAGCCCCCATATAGAGGTACCTCCCGATATTCGGTATTTTAATTTTTTTCCCACATTTTTTCAAGGATTTGTCTGAAAATTGATATTTGTAGGTCATAACGGGTCCCAGTGCGTGTGGAAAAACATTGCATGTATAGGTCCACGTTCTGGTATAGTCCCCATATAACGGTACATCCCGATATTCGGTATTTTGATGATTTATGCCACATTTTTTCACGGATTTGTCTGAAAATTGGTATTTGTAGGTCATAACGTGTCCCAGTGCGTGTGGCAAAACACTGCATGTATGGGTCCATGATTTGGTATAACCCCCATATAAAGGTACCTCCCGCTACTCGATATTTTATTTTTTTCCCACATTTTTTCACGGATTTGTCTAAAAATTGGTATTTTTTGGTAATAATGGGTTCCAGCTCCGGTGGCGAAACATTGCATGTATGGGTCCATGATTTGGTATAGCCCCCATATAACGGTACCTCCCGATATTCGGTATTTTGATGGTTTTTGCCACATTTTTTCACTGATTTGTCTAAAAATAGGTATTTGTGGGTCATAATGGGTCCTAGTTCGTGTGGCGAAACATTGTAATTATAGGTCCACGTTTTGATATAGTCCCCAATATTCGATATTTTGATGATTTTTGACACATTTTTTTCAAGAATTTCTCTGAAAATTGTAGATCATAATGGGTTCTAGCTCCTTTGGCGAAACATTGCATGTGTGGGTCCACGATTTGGTATAGCCCCCATATAACGTACCTCCCGATATTCGACATTTTAATGGTTTTTGCCACATTTCTTCTAATCTTTCCTTTACCCTAAGGTGGAGGGTATTAAAAGTTTGGCCCGGCCGAACTTAATTTTTTTTACTTGTTTTAAATTATTTATAATTATTTTATCATTTGACAACATCCAAATATCAAAATTTATATTTATAAATCCAATAAATGCATAAGTCAGAGGTGGGAACCTATGTTCTTCGCAGTAAAATTTGACAAGGTAAATTACAGAAAATGCAGAAATGGATATGCTCATCTGAAATGACTTTCCCTTCTTAATATTAACATTGGGAAATTGATAATCGAAGTAAAAATGCTAACTTTCTTGCAGTTGTGGAAAAAATCAAATATAATAATATAATAATATAATATAATAATAATATAATATAATATAATATAATATAAAATATAAAATAATATAATATAATATAATATAATATAATATAATATAATATAATATAATACAATAATAATATAATATATTATAATATAATATATTATAATATAATATAATATAATATAATATAATATAAAATATAATATTTACAAAATACTACAATTTCATTGCGACCTGACAAATACAAAATCTTCAATGAAAAACTTGCCTTTTGTTTCTCTTTCTCTTCCTTATTTGTTTGCTTCTTATGTTAATTAAATGCATTAAAATGCAACTCTGATTCAAAGCAATATGTCTAGTGTAAACTGTGTGCTACCAAAATAAACTAATTGAACTAAACTATTCCGTAAAGGGAACTATTGGAACTATACTTTGCTTTTTGACTAATCTTGTTCCTTCGGTGCATCTAGTTCTCCTATCTCTCTTCTCTCCACTTTACGCAAGATAATGAAACATTGCAGCATTTTCTCTGCCAATGGCCAGCGTTAGCAAATATCAGTTCCCAATTTTTAGGGAACGACTCCATACCAGACCTTAATCAGATCATGGTAAATGAAATAAAACAGTTAAGGAATTTTGTTAAGGCAATTGAATTTCAAATTTTATAGACAGTACAGGGTTGCCCATATTCGACGGACCCATGTTTTTTTTTTAAATCAAAGAAAAAAATGTGGCGGTTGGCAATGTTAATCATTTAATTTGTTCCAAGTAGATTTGTTTACATCAATTTTTGAATATGATATCTCTCAAATGGCCGCCTCTGGCGTTGATGACGTATTGTGCCCTTTTTGCTGCATTTTCCATTGTTTTTGCCAACATTTCGTCCGGAATAGCGGCTATTTCTTCACGAATGTTGCCCTTGAGCTCTTCTACGGTCCTTGGCTTGTTAACGTAAACCTTTGACTTCAAATATCCCCACAAGAAGAAGTCAGAAGTCAAACGGCCCGGAAACAAATTCTTCAGAAAATCGATTGTTACGCCGGTACAACCTAAACCAACCTTGGCAGGAATATATAAAAATTTCATATATTTAATACATTTAATTAATTATATATGACAACAAACGAACGATGTTAAAAGAAACGGGAAAACTAAAATGAACAGTTGAACAACTAAAACTGCTATCAGACGATAAGTATTTTACATATGTACTGTCAAATTTTCCATATGTAGAAGTTGAATAATCGTGTGATACATGGACGACATTTCAGTTGTGAAGTACATGAGTAATGTACATAAGTTCTTTTTCGATCACAGCGAGCCCTATTTTCAACGAAAAAATATAATTGAAAAAATATACAGGTTAAGATGAAAAAACTGCAACCAACTTCAGACTGCTGTCATTTCTAAGCCACTCGTCCGACAGCTGTTAAAATTATTCCAGTGACAGCTCATTATATTGTTTGCTGTCACGCGTCCGACAGCTATTAAAATTATTCCAATGACAGCTCATTATATTGTTTGCAAGCGTACAAAAGAATTTTGGTAAAAATTTTCCCGAAAAAAAGTTATTCGTGATGGAATTCAATTCACACCATGATTTCTTTATATCTGGCTGGAAAACCACAAGTGGCTATCGTCAGAGCACTCCAGAGGATAAATCTTTTGTGTCTCATACCATCGCTCGTTATCCTCTGGAGTGCTCTAACGATAGCCACTTGTGGTTTTCCAGCCAGATATAAAGAAATCACACTATCACTGCTGGTAGCGTAGTCTGACGTCAAGGAAGTGGACGGAAGAAGGACAGCAACATCAGAAATGGTTCGAAAAATAAAGAAGCGACTTGCTCGAAACCCACGTCGCAGTGGCCGAGAAATAGCTCGTGAACTGAACATATCGCAATATTCCATTCGGCAAATAATATAAAATGAGCTTACCCCGAGCCATTGAAATTCCAAAAAGTGCATGAACTTACACCGCAACAGAAAGACAATAGACTCAAACGAGCTAAAGAGTTGCTTCGCTTGGCCGAAAGTGGTGAACTGCCGAATTTGGGTTTCTCCGATGAGAAAACATTCGTTGTCCAGCAGTTTGTAAACAAACAAAATGATCGTGTTTACTTGCCAAAGAGGTCAGCTGAAAATGAAAATAGTTTAACATGTTCCTAAGTCGATCTATATACCCCTATGTTAAATGTATTCTATTCTAAGGAGATCAATAACTGAATATCTTAGGAATCTGTCGTGAATTGTTGGCATACTCACCGCTTCATTCTAAAAAATTTTCATAAAAACAAATTTCCTGTGGAGTTTTATATTTTAAATTTTATTTTGATGGCCAATGAATATTAAAAACAACTTTATGTATGAGAATGTGACCTATAGCAATTTTTCTAAAAAAAAATAATTAATACTAAACATAAACTTTGTTTTAGAAATGAATATAAACAGCTAATTGTCTCAATCAGCTGATTGCGGTAAACAGCTGATTGACAAAAAAAAATAAACATAAACAACTTAAACAGCTGATTGCCTCAAACAGCTGATTGACACAAAAATTAATATAATCAACTTAACACAGCTGATTGCCTTAAACAGCTGTTAATTTCCAAAATCTACAATTTGTTTATCTTTAAACAGCTGTTTACCTCGAACAGCTGATTGCAGCAAACAGCTGATTCCTTTACATTCTTACAAAATTGGGAAACTACATTCACTGGCAATCCCGCAAAAACTATTCTCATTGCGAGGCAGCCTAAAGAAACCATTCTCCCCCCAATTTGCCGAATAGGAATTCTTGACAATCCAATAGTCACGGCCATTTTCCGAGCCATAACCCACCACGACAACAGAGTGATTAACCTCACCCTGATTACATTGATCATCATCGTAAATGCCACCATTGTACTGTTCAAACGAGACCACATCGGCATTTATGGAACAGGCCAAGGGGCCCAAGGTGGCAATGACTTCTTTCATTTTGGCTTCATCACCGGGCTTAATGCGGGCATAATCACGTATATACACACCCTTGTCGGTGGTCTCATTCCTACCGCATTGGGCATTTTCCATTTGGGTGTAGGGATATTTACTGGCCACCGAGACACCGTGATCACGTATGTATTCAAAGGCATATTCCTGGAAACCACCATCACAGCCCATCGAACCATAATCCTCGGCACAGTCGACCAAGTTTTGAGTAGACAAAGGCACTAGAAGGCCAGTACGTCTAAACAAATGGCCCTCCAAAGCGCCAATGGTGGCAAAAGACCAGCAAGAACCACAGTCGAAGCCCTGGAAATCTGGTGGTGTAACACCGCCCAATTCACGCCAATCGAAATGATCTGGCAAGCCATCCGTTTGGGTTTTGGCCGTCACAAAGTTGGTGTGTTGAGAGGTAATGTTTCTGAAAAAGAGAAAATAAAATTAAAATTAAATGTCTCTCTCTCTCTTTCTCTTGAAGAAAAATGAACTTACTCTCCGGTATAGGTAATTTTCGAGCCCAGCAAACGTGCCACCTCATTGTGTGTCAAATCGGCCAGGGGATTTATGGCCATATTAAACGACGATGAACCTTGGGCAGCAAATTTATTGCCCATATCCACCACACCCTTTTTGGCCAAAAATATGGATTCACGGAACTGATATTCTCTGGGATCATTGTAAACTTTGCCCGTCTGATGCAAATAATCTTGGAAATCTTGGACATTACAGAGTTTGGGGAATGACTGTAGACCCCAGCCGGCAGCCACAAAAGTGGTTAGCATTAAAAAGCTAATTTGTTTAGGTGTTAACATATTGGTGTTGTTTTAGTTGTTGTTGCTTCCAAATTTGTTATCTCAAGCGTTACAGGAAACCTTGGCCGCTGCCGCTTCTGTGAGAAAGAAAAGAATGCGAGATTTAAAATGTGAGATGCTAATTTTTGTTTAATTTTATAGCCATTATAATATCTCCCAACTAAATCAATAAACGTCACGACTGACTAATCGCCGCGATCATTATGGGTGTCATTTAGGTGATAAGAATTCATGACTTCAAATGAATTTAAAATTTATGATGTTTTAGGCAGGTTTTTATATCCGGTTTTTTTCGTCATCTTTGACGACGAAAGGGTTGGAATTCTTGGTTTTTAGATTTAAACGTGGGAGATTAAATTCCATAGAAATTAACACTCATCGGGGAACTTAGAAGCTAGTAATAGCTACAATAGCTATTCATACAAGTAAGGCTTAGAAGACAAGACTTTTTTTTTTTTTTTTTGAAAAAACATTTTTGGAGGAGACCTTTGTAGTTGGGGTTTCTGGTCTGTTATAAGAAATGAGCAGAAAATTGAAAAAAAATTCTCAAGAATCAATTAAAACCCGGTAATACTTTATGTTGAAGAATAGACAGACTTGCTTCCTGAAAAGGGAAAAAGGAGAGAGATAATCTCAAAGAAATTCCATTCCAATCGAGCACTCAGTGACAAGAAATGATAGAGACTCTGAGTCCAAAAAAAAAAAAAAAAAAATGGGCAAAGGAAACCTTTATTGAAATGTCAAATAGGCAGAAGATCCGGAAGATGGTGTATGAAGGAAGTGAGAGCTTTCTGAAACGCACTACAAACAAAGAGAGGCTTAAAATGATCCGAATAAACAACGAGAATAAAAAACAGGAAGTTTTGGAGTTTGAAACTCGTCCATAACATTTCTTGGATAAAGTACTTTATTCCGGATAAGAAGAGGGCAGAGAAGGCTTCAATAAAAAGCTAAAGGTGAGAAAACGCGTTTTTGACTGGCTTAAGTCATCGACTGGCTTCTTCGTAGAGGAACAATGGAATTATAGGTTGATTTAGTTCGATTTTGACCCTAGGCTCCTATGTTCTTTTCCGAAGAAGCCAGCCGATGACTTAAGCCAACCAAAAAAGCGTTTTAGGAATTCTCACCTTAAAGCTGAGAATACATAAAAGACTTTTTTGGTTGGCTTCCTAGAGGAACAGAAGAGTTTTAGGTTGTCTAAGTTCGATTTTTTTGCCCTACGTTCCTTTGCCATTTTCCAAAGAAACCAGTCGATGACTTAAGGTAAGAATACATAAAATGGCTTTTTGACCTGTTTAAGTCATCGCCTTTTTTTCGTAAAGGAACAATGGAATTTTAGGTTGACTTAGTTCGATTTTGGTCGATGTCTTAAAGGTGAAAATACATAAAACCTTCAACCTGAGTTGAAGTTTCGACTTGGCCCTAGGCTCCTATGTTCTTTTCCGAAGAAGTTAGAATTCTCACATTAAAGCTGAGAATACATAAAAGGCTTTTTTGGTTGACTTCGTAGAGGAACAGAAGAGTTTTAGGTTGTCTAAGTTCGATTTTTTTTGCCCTACGTTCTTTTGTTCTTTTCCAAAGAAGCCAGTCGATGACTTAAAGGTGAGGATACATTAAACGTTTTTTGAGTGGATTAAGTCATCAGCTGGCTTCTTCGTAGAGAAACAAAAGAGTTTTTGGCCCTACACTCCCTTATTCTTGTCTTAAGTCCAAAGTCAAAAAAGCATTTTATGTTTTCTCACCTTAAAAGCTGAGGTACCCAAGTCAAATACCAGACAAAGGATTTTTTTTTTTTTGGGCGAAGATGACAAAGTGCATTCCAAAGTTTTCAAGATTTTCTGCAAAACATAGAGATTCTGTAAAGAAATATTTAATTTGCAGAACCATCTAACATCAACATTTCCTCAAAAAATGAACTCCCCTATGCAGTTATTAAGATAGGCGTGGAGAAAGAGGGAGAACAAGATTAAATTGCTCAGGGAAAGACCTCAGAGACAGGTAATAACTCAAACTTTGAATACGACAGCAATGAAAATACAATATTCCTTGAAATCTGAAATAAGAAAAGCTCAGCAAGATGATGGATGAGGTGAGTGAGAGCATTGCGAGTCTCAAATTGTGAAGAGTAGAACACTGTTAACTCCCGAAAATGAGATTTCCGCCTTCAATTGCTTCGACCGCATAGAGTCAAGAACCATGAAAAGCAGATTGTCCTAAGATCCTTTGACAGAGATCGAAATACTGAAAGGCTCAGGGAATGATTGATCTTTACCCAGCCTTTAGAGATCTTTACCTAGCCTTCGAGTATAATTATTCCAAGAATTATTTGTCGGACGACGACAAAGTGATATGGAATATGAAGATATTCGTGATGAGTTTTGGCTGTCCAATTTAAATGATTCCAGTGTCAGAGAACTGGGTTTGAATCCGGTGAGAATAGGTGGAAAAGGTCTTTAGGATATCCACAGTGTTGAAAACCTAAAATCGCACTCGAACCCTGAAAAAAGATGAAGGAATCGCAGCCATAGAAATGCTTGAGTCAAACCTGAGACTGAAAACCAAAGGGGGTGGTGTAAGAGCCCTGAACAAAGAAAGAAGAAAACTCTACGGCTACGTTTTACGACGGTGATGGATTTGAAGAGGTAAGCGATTATTTTAACCACCAGCCCGTTGAGTACCCCGAGATCGCAAGGTCGTCGCGAAGAGTATTACATCGAAACATATCCTTTTCCAATTCATTGAGTTCTATGAGCCCGGATTACATTGCAAAAGCCCTTAATCAGTTTCTGACAATCACATTGCTTCTGAAACTCGGAAAATTCGACAGAATGGTACTGAAGCATATGATTTAAGGCTGACTTCATTTGATCATAAGTACCGAAGACAGTACCTTACCGTCATCAGACAAAGATATTCCATTGCCGATCACATCGGGGATAATCGCCATGATCTAAATAGTATGTCACATAAGTCATAATTCAATAACGTATGAATTCCGGTCCCGGAGTTCACATAGAGTGCGAGACCAAGGATACTCACCGGAAGAAAACAACGTTGTACAAAATACTTTGTATATACTTTTGAGTGCGGTTGAGGCGCTGGGAAAATCTAGCGATAAACAATAAATATTCTAAAATTACATATTTCCCAGCCGCCATAAAATACCACATTTGAACAATTCGGTGATCTTACGATCATGTGTGAGATAATAAAGGTTATGACCCAAACGCACAGATATCGATGCGCTCAGTAGATGTACAAGACCACTTGAATGAAATGTCAAGCAGCCCTGCAATGTTCTCCATTCAATATTAGAATCGATATGAATAATTGTATGGCTGCGATTGGGATAAGTTCGATTAGTTTCAGTAGCACTTAAGAAACATATTTTTGAAATAAAATCAGAATTGAAATTACACCCTAACGAAGCGAGCGTATTTCTTTTCTTACTTTACATTGCTCTAGTCGAGCCGAAAACGGAATAGAATTGACAATCGAAGAGGGAGATTGGACTCTATTCTCAGTATTAAAAACATTGATCCTCCGAGCAGCATCCGGAAGAGAATTGACAATCGAAGAGGGAGATTGGATTCTATTCTCACTTACATTGATCCTTTAAGCCGGATCGAGAATTAAAGTTGAACCTAGACGAAACGGTCGTCTTTCTTTTCTCATTTACAAACGTTGTACGCCGAATGCTGGAGAAACGAGACCAAAAACATTAGTTGTAGGTCTTGCAGACATAATCCAATAGCGGCTATGTCCTGGAAGTTAAGAGGAGATATATACCGCAGTATACCGTTGAGCCTCTTAGCAAGATTATTTGCAGAGAGCAGTTCCCTGGGAAGATGTCAAACTGAAGGGGTGAGGGAGAAGGGGTTTCTTGCCTGACTAAAGACGGAGTTTACGAGAAAAGATGAATAGCAAGTTCAGAGTGGAAGTCATGCTCGACATTTTTAGGGGATTATTTCACCTCGCTATCAAACGTTGAGGTTGTAGGAGAGATGGCTCCTTGGGATAGCGCCCAACTAAACCAGATTTAGAAGTTAGTTTATCATCTACCAAAAATATACATATTTATGGGCTTTAATAGACGTGGATTTTTTAAAAATATATTTTTCAAGGATTCCAACAAATGTGGATTTTTTTGAAAATATTTTTTTCAAAGATGCCAACAAATGTGGATTTTTCAAAAATAAGTTTTTCAAAGATCCCAAAAAACGTGGATTTTTTTTAAATATCCACAAACGTGGGTCTTTTAAAAATATTTTTTAAAGGTCCTTCCACAAACGTCGATATTTTAAAAATATTTTTAAAAGTCCTTCCTTAGAAGTTAGTTTATCATCTACCAAAAAGGCGATGAACGAAAAAATGAGAAAGTTTAGGACGGGAAGCACTTGTCTAATTTCGGTAGAGGAAAAGTCGGTAAGTTCGGGACGGAATGCATTCTCGAAGTCTGTGCTGTTCAAAACATGAGTTGGACGTTAAAAATTAGGATCTTTGAGGCAAAATGAGCAGATACCAGCAGATGCACAAATAGCTCTGATGGCCACAATCAACAATTTAATATTGGATCATCTCCTGCAGGGGGTAATTCTATAGGGAATATGAACTGCGAGTAAAATTTGTAATATTCTGTGAAATATTCCACCTGGCTGTAAAACGTGGAGACCCTCAGGGAGATGATAAGCATCTTAGCAGCCCCATTTATGCCATAAATATCTGACTAATGCATTTGAGAAGAAAAAAAGGATATTCAGTATATTTGAAGTAAATGGCGCCCAAGCAGAGTAACGTCTAAATTGGGGAAAAATGTTCATAGAAGCACATTTTAGGTTAAAATACAGGGTGAGATGAAAAAACTGCAACCAACTTTAGACTGCTGTCATTACTAAGCCACTCGTCCGACAGCTGTTAAAATTATTTCAGTGACAGCTCATTATATTGTCTACAAACGTACAAGATCATTTTGGTGAGATTTTTTTCAGAAAAAAAGTTATTCGTGATGGAATTCAAGCGCGATAGTGTGATTTCTTTATATTTGGCTGGAAAACCACAAGTGGCTATCGTTAGAGCACTCCAAAATATGAATAAATCTTTTGTGTCTCGTACCATCGCTTGTTACCGTGATACTGGTAGCGGAGCCCGACGTCAAGGAAATGAACGAACCAGCAAAATCAGCAGAAATGGTGCGCAAAGTAAAGAAGTGACTTAATCGAAATCCGAGCTGAACAAATCGCAATATTCCATTCGGCAAGTATTGAAAAATGAGCTCGGGATAAAGCCAAAAAGTGCAAGAACTTACACCGCAACAGAAAGAAAATAAACTCAAAAGAGCTAAAGAGTTTCTTCGCTTGGCCGAAAGTGGTGGACTGCCGAATTTGATTTTCTCCGATGAGAAAACAGTCGTTGTTTAGCAGTTTGTAAACAAACAAAATGATCGTGTTTACTTGCCAAAGAGGTCAGCTGAAAATGTGCACCTTTGGTTGCCCACCACAACTCAAGCGCCGGCCCTGATGATGATGTGGGCCGCCATACTAGCCGATGGTCGCTCTCCGCTCGTATTAATCGACCGTGGCATCAGAATAAATTCCGAATATTATCGCGAAATTATTCTGAAGGGTGTATTAAAGCCTTGGGCACGCAAACATTTTGGCCGCAGACCTTGGACATTCCAACAGGACTCAGCACGCGCCACCCAAGAATGGTTACAAAATGAGGTTCCTCGCTTCATTTCCAGCGCACAATGGCCACCAAAATCTCCGGATACCTATCCGTCGGGCAATTGTGTCTGGAGTATTTTGAAAAGCAAAGTTGGCACTAAAAAATACCAAAGTGTCGATCACCTCAAGCAAGCGCTTCGCCGCGAATGGGCCAAAATACTGCAACATTCGGGAAGCGTGCGACGGTTTCATTGGCCGTTGGAAGGCCATAAGTCGTGCCAAAGGTGACCAATTCGAACAAATCTAAACTTATTCTAAAATTTTATGGCATTTTCGACATTTTTTGCTTTCATTCAATAAAATTTGAAAAAAATGTAAAAATTATGGCGTTTGACTTTGTTGCAGTTTTTTTTTTATTTCACCCTTTATTACTGACTTCTTCGTAAAATTCTTCTTTTCCAAAGAAGCCAGCCAATGACTTAAGCCAGTAAAAAGTATTTTATGTATCTAAAGTCTTTAAAAAGGTTTAAGGTGAGAATACATAAAACGATTTTTTGACTGTCTTAAATCATCGGCTGGCTTCTTTGGAAAAGAAGAAAGAAGCGTAGGACAAAAATCGAACTAAGTCAACCTAAAACTCCTTTGTTCCTCCACGAAGAAGCCAGCCGAATACTCAAGGTGGGAATACATAAATCGCTTATCTGGGTGGCTTAAGTCATCGGCTGGCCTCTTCGGAAATGAACAAAGGAGCCTAGGGCCAAAATCGAACTAAGTCAACCTAAAACTCTACGAAGAAGCCAGCCAAATATACGCTTTATATATTTCCTCCCTTAAGCCAGTCGAAAAAGCGTTTTATGTATTCTCACAGAGTGTGGGTACATAATCAGCTTGTTCAATTATAAGAAAAAATGATGACAGGATTTGAGTGCGGCTCTAGCATCCTTTTGTAATATTTTACAAAATATACCATGCGAAGACCTGAAGCTGCTTATGTACCCATATCTTTATGTATCTGCACCATAAAATATTCTCCCTGAAATGTCACTTTAAATCACTGAAAAATGAAATCTCTAGTTAAGATATAATGAAATAATTCTCATTCACTTTGTTTTTTGGGGGGAGTACAAAATTTTTAAAAATTCATTTAAAATTGTTAAATATTTTTTTTTTTTTTTTTTTTTTTGTAAATTTTAATTCATTCATTGATTATTTTTATGGAATTTTTTCTCAACTATTCATAAATCTTTTTTTTTTTTAAATACGTTTTTTTAGGGTCAAAATTATTTGTTACTCGGTGGCATCGATTTTGTATTAATGAATGGATTTCGATTTCATTTCGATTTTTGTTTTCATTTCACAACACACATACACACGCACACACACCTTTTCGAAATTGTTGTTGAGATGTGCAATATAAAAAAATTTCCAGATGAGCAATATCCGTTTGACACTAATAACGTTCAAAGTTCAAATCTCCGTCCAACTCACGGCCCGATAACTTGTTCGTCTATTGAACGACTGAAATTTGTTTAACTAACAAACGGAGATTTTTATAGAAAATTATGAAGTTGTTGATTTTTCGAAATGAAAATGAAACAAGAAATGGTTTTGGAAATGAAACAAAATATTGAAAACGTTTGTAAACATAACCTTAGACCCCTTACATCCCCCCTCACCGTTCAACGTCAACACTCAGCTCTGGGGGGAGCTTTAAATCTAAACTATCACCATTGATCTTTTTTGATAATTAATGTAAATTTATTAGCTTGGATTTCGTTGTATTAATTGTTGTTGTTGCTGTTAGTGTTGCTCCACGAGACATGTTTTTTGTTGTTGTTCGTTATTTTGCCCATTCGCATGTGTTTCATACATCATTGTTGGTCATTATCATTTGTTGTTACGTCTCCATATCGACTGGAGAACCATGACCATACCAACCTGCGGTGTTTCGAATCCAGATGTTGTTGTTCAGCGGGGCTTTTAAGAGAGTTCATCTTCTTCTGTTTAATATCTATGGACGTAATTATGTTAATTGTATTATAATCAGGTTTGATATTTGGGAGAAGATTTCCTCAACGAGTTACCAACAAAGGGCTGATTTAGTGAAACATTAATCATGGCTTTTGCGAAAATCCATGGTTTATTATCAACAAAAAACGTATTTCAAAAAATAATTTTGAAAAAAAAAACAAACAAATAAAAAAAAAAAAATAAAATAAAAAAAAAAATAAAAAAAAAAATATATCAACCAAGTGAAAGGCGTGGGGATTTACAAACGAAAGCAAGGAGGTGTTTAAAAAGAGATCGAAAATTTAAAAGTAAGAAAAAAAATAAATAAATAAAATTAAATTAAAAAACTAGTAAAGAAAATCTAAATGTCGGGCGGGATCGACCTTATGATACCCCACACCCCTTTGCATATTTAGTAGAGCTTCATATAACAAATAAAAAATATAACAATTGAAAAAGCAGTAAGTTCGGTCGGGCCGAACTTTGAATACCCTTCACCATTTGGAACGAAATTTTGGAAATTTTCAAAAAATAAAATCCATTAAAAATTCTGTTAAAATTCTAAAAAATACCAAATATAGCCGTTATATTGGGGTCTCTACGACGTGAACCGACATAGGCTTTGTTTGTCATAATCCAATACCATATTCAAATTCGGAACTTGAAATAAACGGTGAATAATATAGCTAAAATCATCAAAATATCGTATATGGGGAGGTATCGTTATAGGGGGGCTATACGAAGACCTGGACCTGCATAGACAAATTTCTGTCACAGGCTGTAGCATCCATTACGAACTTCAAATACAACATCTCAAACAATTTCGGTGAGTATTGTACCTAATATCGACAAAATACCGAATATAGGGAGGTACTGATATATGGGGCCCATACGAAGACCTTGATCTGCATACACAGTTTTCTGTCACAGGCTGTAGTTCCCATTACGAACTCTTAATACGTATTTTGAAACAATTCCGGTGAATAATGTCGCTAAAATCATTAAAATACCGAATATCAGGAGGTACTGTTATATGGGGGCTATACGAAGACCTGGACCTGTATACACAATTTTCTGTCACAGGCTGTAGTTCCCATTACGAACTCTAAATACGTAATTTGAAACTATTCCGGTGAATAATGTCGCCAAAATCATCAAAATACTGAATATCGGGGGTACTATTATATGAGGGCTATACGAAGACGTGGACCTGCACAGACAATTTTCTGTCACAGGCTGCAGTATCCATTACGAATTTCAAATACCAATTTTGAAACAATTCCGGTAAATAATGTCGCTAAAATCATCAAAAAACCGAATATCGGGAGGTACCGTTATATGGGGACTATATGAAAACGTGGACCTACATGGCCCATTTACGAACTTAACCTGCCTACTGGAAAACTAAACATGTGTGCAAAATTTTAGCCGTCTATCTCAATTCGTTCGAAAGATAGCGTGATTACAACAGACAGACAGACGGACATCGCTGGATCGTCTTAGAAATTTACGCTGATCCAGAATATATATACTTTGTAGGGTCTATTATGAATATTTTGAGGAGTTACAAACGCAATGACAAAGTTAATATACCCTCCATAGAATGGTGGAGGGTATAAAAATATTAAAGGTGACAGCACATAAAAGGCTTTTTTGACTGGCTTAAATCATCGGCTGGCTTTTTCGTAGAGGAGCAAAGGAGTTTTAGGTTGACTTAGTTCGATTTTGACCCTACGCTCATTTGTCCTTTTCCGAAGAAGCTAGCCAATGACTTAGCGTGTGAACGCTGTTTGATTCCCCGCACATATTTTCTATATATTATGAGTCTTAAGGTGCAAATACATAGATACCTCTTTTGACTGGCTTAAAGGTGGGAATACGTAAAGCGCTTATTTGGCTGACTTAAGTCATCGGCTGGCTTCATCGGAAATGAACATAGGAGCCTATGGCCAAAATCGAACTAAGTCAACCTAAAACTTCTTTGTTCCTCTACGAAGAAGCCAGCCGATGACTTAAACCAGCTAAATATGCGCTTTATGTATATCCACCCAAGCCATCGGCTGGCTTTTTCGAAAAAGTACAAAGGATATTTAGGTCGACTTAGCTCGATTTTGTTATTTTACTTAGCAGCCAGACGATGACTTAAGCCAGCCAAGACTTTTCTTTACACAAATCACGCTTTACATTACTTGGTCCACACAATACTTTATTGGCGATCTTATTCACATCTGACTAACTGGCCTGCTACTCACTCGTATTTATAGGTTCTTCATCTATACTTGGAAATTTTAAGAATACTAATCCAGCGAAATTACAAGCACGTTCATTGGTCAAAACAAATACACACATTCACAAACAAACGAATGTATGTAAACAACAAATTTTGTATGTAAACGATATATAAGTCAATGGGTCGGACATGGTAGAAGAATATAGGTAGATGCATCAACACTCTCGAACATTGATATGTCAAAAATTTTTAAAAATATTTAAAAAATAAATGGAATTTAAAAGCTTATCTTATACGACGCCAATAGTTGTTATGACATGTATTTTTCAAAAATTTTTACAAATTTTGAAATTTTTCAGTCAAAAATTTTCAATTCCAAAATTGGTTTGACAGCTCATTGTACCAGCAGCTGTGTTGATGCGCCTACTTGTATCATTTTATCATGGGCTCTGATTTGAACTAAGTCACCCTACATGCATTTGTATTAATAGAGTTGTCATGACAAAAGAATACAGGTGAATGCATTAACACATGGTACAGTAAGGATGTAGAACAGCTTCGTAAAACTGCAGAAATACAGCCTGAGACTATGCCCGCTTCTTGTCGGAATTATTCAAAATTATATCCAACAAGTTGTTTTAATTTATTTGATTTTTTTCTGTTCACTTTTAAAATGAAAAAAATAGCGTGAAAGTTGAATGAAATGCCTGGATGTTCTCTCAAAAATATAATACTAAGTGCTCAATCTTTCAATTCCGCCGCAAATCTGTTTAATATCATTAATGCACACCTGCAATTTAAGATTCTTCCAATCATTGATTTTGAAAATATTTTGTTTTTATTTTTCAAAACAATAAATACATACATAAAATTGGCAGAAGTCGGGCGCACTTAGAAAAAAAATTGTAATCAACTGATAGCTCTACCTTACCTTTTTATTGTACCATGCATTAACACTTATTAACATTTATGTGTTAAAAATATTAAAATATTTCACCAAAATAAGCTGTTTTTCATATACGACGCCGTTTTGAGTTTCTTATGATATGTTTTTTTTTAACAATTTTATTTAATTTGAGTGATTTTTCATTCAACATTTTTCCTTTCAAAAAAGCTTTGGCAGTTCATTGTACCATCATATGTATCTCATTCGACTACCTATATTCTTCTAACATGAGCGTTACCTAAAGTTAGACGTACTCGGTCGACGCATTTCACCACAATCATTTTATGTCATATTTACACCGCCCATGTTTCCACAAAACGCGTTATTTAGGTTCTCAATGAACTGTCAAACCAATTTTGGAATTGAAAATATTGAATGAAAAATTATTGAAAATTGTAAAAATTGTTGAAAATGCGTATTATAATAACCTCCGAATGACGTCGTATACGAAAACATATAAAAATCTACTTATATTTGAAAAGACATTTAAAATGTTTTGACATATCAATGTTCCCAAGCATTGATGCATCTACCTGTATTCTTCTACAATGGTCGAATCTTTGTTAAACGCATTATTTAGTATTGGTGTAAAGTAGGATTTTTATACCGAATACGTTTACACTAATCTCGTTATTTAGATTGTCATTTCCTTTCATTATACGTTAAATAAATGACGTATAATTAAAGAAATTGACAATGTAAATAAACTAAATTAGGTGTTTTATGAAAACGTGTTCGATAATTAGAATCAAAGCAGACTTCATGTGTGCGTAACATACAAAAAGGATTATATTTGCCAATAAAAACTTGTAAAAAAATTGTCTAAGAACACTTCTGAGTCCACTCGATTTCAAATGTCACTTTCATAGCGTAAGTCATGGTAGAAAAATACAGGTAGATGCATCAACGGTTGAGAACATTGATATGTCAAAATATTTTAAATGTCTTTTCAAATATAAGTAGATTTGTATATGTTTTCTCATACGACGTCATTCGGAGGTTATTATAATACGCGTTTTTCAACAATTTTTCAAATTGAAATAATTTTTCATTCAACATTTTCAATTCCAAAATTGGTTTGACAGTTCATTGTCCCAGCAGCTGAGTCGATGCGTCTACCTATATTCCTCTAACATGGCGTATGCGTCACTTAAATTGTATTCATAAATCCAATAGATATTATTTGACATATACGATATGAAATTGACATTTGCGATCGAGTAAATTTCATAAGTCTAAACATACTTTAAAGAAAGTCGATTTAAATAAGCCTGAAATAAAACACCATACAATTTTTTTGATTTAATGTTGTTATTTGGGTTTTCTTTTGTTAATGTTATATTTTTTTTCATTTATTTCTCAAAATTAATCATTCAACCAAACATATTTTTTTTGTTGTTGTTATTATTATTATTTTATTCTATTATTTTATTTAAATTTATACTTGCCTTACAATGTGTTTGCTCTTTTCGTTCATTTTTATAGGGTTTTATAGTTCTCTTGATTCATTTTATTTATTTACTTTTTATGTTCATATATGAATAACATTACATAGTTAGTTATTGTATTTAATTTTGTTTATGTATATATAATTATTTGTTATTGTGTAGTTTATTTATTAAATATTGGTTTTAGTTTTTTCACTTTTCTCATTTTTTTCTAAAAAACGCGCACATTTACTACTTAAATAGACAGTTATATAAATATTTTTATGTATATGTGTGTGGGTGTGGGTGTAGATGTGTGATTTGGTATTTTAGTGTATATATATGCTGGAATGTATTATATAGTTATGTGTCCATGTAAATATATATAAATATATAGTTAATTATTATTATTATTTATTTATATATTTAAGTGAAATACATTTATAAATGTATGTAACAGTGATTTAGCAACAATTTTTAGTTTGGTTTGTATTTGCAGGTTTATTTTTATTTATTTTTTTATTTGTTTTTTATTTTAGAAAAATTATGAATATGTTTTGTTGTTGTTTTTGGCATTTGTTATGGTAAGAATTGGGCTGTGGTATTTTTTTTAAATAAATTTTATTTTTTCTTAGTGGGTTTATGGATAGGGATGGGAATGTGTGTGTGTAATGAGTGTTAAATTATTGTAATTTATTTTTTTTATAAAATCTTTAAATAATACTACTTTTATGTATTGTTTTTTGTTAAATATATATTTTTAATAATAAATTCCTATATGTGTTGCTCTGTAAAGCCTTTTTTAAAATGCCGTTTTATTTAAATTAGGATTAATTTCATAATTATTAATTTGATTTATTTAAATGAACGGTATGTAACTATTGAGCTTAGGGGGGAAATTTAGGAAAACAGCATGTACATTATGTTAATTTTAATTTTATTTGAAAATCTTTTTTCATAAAAGATTTAATTTCACATTTTTATAGAGAAAGAATTTAAATCCTAACATGCTACTCGGCCTGAAGGTCTGACATCCTTTAAGAAATCCAAATTTGTGGAATTTTTATTATTAACTACATTGAAATCTCTGACCTTTCCAGATAAAAATGTATCCACATTTGATGGATACATTTTTATCTGGAAAGGTCGGAAATATTGTTCGACATTTTTCATCAAGTGCATATATTTTCCAAATTTGTACACAAATAGTCTAAAAATTAACGTCTGTATTCATTTCTTAATTATGTTCTTATTTTTTATATCATATAGAATGAAATGCATATTTTGTAGAATTTACACCAAGAAAACAATATATTTGCCATACGTCAAAGATCAAGTTTTACCCTGAGCATAGGGTACTCTAATTCGATTATTGATGAATATTATGGTAGAATAATATAGGCAATTGCGCGACACAGCTGCTGGGACAATGAACTGTCACACCAATTTTGGAAATTGAGATTTTTGAATGAAAAATATTATTCAAACTTGTAAAAATTTTTTAAAAACGCATATTATAAAATTCTCCTATTTGCGTCGTGTAAAAAAAATAAAAATCTACTTATATTTGAAAATAAAAGTTTTACCTTCAGAATAGAGAATTCTAAATCGGTAATTGGTGAACACATGTGTGTCATGGTAAATAAAAATTTTCGCTTCGACACAGCTGCTGGGATAATGAACTGCCATCTCGATTTTGGAATTGAAAATTTCGAATGAAAAATTATTGAAATTTTGTAAAAATTGTTGAAATATGCCTGTCATAATAGCCCCCGATTTGGGTCGTATAAAAAAACATATAAAAATCTACTTATTTCGTCAAAACATTTTAAAATTGTTGATATGTCAATGTTCCCAAGCGTTGATGCATCTACCTGTATTCTTCTACCATTATGTGTATTTGATGTTACATATTGCTCATACATTACTTAAACGCATTTATAAACCGAAAATATTTCTTAAATTTTTTACCAAATTCATAAATTTTTCAAATTTGGTACCAAAATGCTCCAAATAATATGGTACACATAAATTTCATATTTATGTAAGTATTTTATAAGATTTTGAAGAATGAAATGCATATTTTGTAGAATTTACAGCAAAAAACAACATATTTGTCATACGCCAAAATTAAAGTTCTACCCCCAGAATAGGGAACTCTAATTCGTTAATTGGTGAACACATGTGTGTTTGATGTAACACATTGTTTACACATTGCTTTTACAGTTTCTTGAAAAATGTTTGATATAATTGAAAATTTGAATACGTGAGATGTAAAATGTTCCTAGTGATGCGAAATGGTTTTGGTAAGACCAATTCCACTGCACATATAGCAAAAAAAATTGCCCTAAGATTTCTTGGCCAAACCAATAATAATACCATGTTTTTTGAACAAGAAATGACATGCTGTTTTTTATAAATCATTAAATGTTCATTTCTAAATAATAGTAAGAATCAAAAATGTACAATATTGCTTTAACTTAAAATTCAATAAAAACCGGTTTTATTCTTGTTTTCAAAATCAATTCTACATTTTCATTTGCTATAACCTGAGTTATTAAGTTTGTTTTTGTGTTTATTTTTATATTTTCTTCTGTGGAATATGATGTTTTTATTGTTGTTTATATATTTTTTTTCATTTGTTGCCTACAATTTACAAATATCCATTTAACAATAACGAATCAAGCCATTTACATACAAAAGAGAAAAACAAATATATAACTTCTTATTTGTAGTTATCTCTACATTTCGGTTTATTGTGACTTTTTTCTTGGTTTTTCTTAAAGAATAATTTCACCGATGATATTTTTCTTAGTAAAAATGTCAAAAATAAAAACAACTAGTACTTCTGATGATATTAATGATATCTTTCAAATATAAACGATCTGTTCCAATACCTGCAAGGACTTATTAGTTTTGCCCTTTTTTCGATATCATAAAGAGAAAATAGATTATTGTAATAAGAACTTGTGTATTCTTGCTCTGTTCCAGAACCTTCTATTCTTTGCGATTACATAAAGGGAAAATCTGTTATCGTATTTATTTTACATTCTTGCAGTTCCGAAAGAGGCCATCTTTTCTGGAACAGACAATATTTCAAAAATATCATCAGTCATACATTTCCAAATACAAATGTCGCACGTTATTCCTTATTATAGAAAAAATTTCCGTGAATTTTTGTTTTTTTGAAATAAATCTCTGCAAATATTTTTTTAATTAGTAACATCGGTGACATGTTCCTATAAGAACAATTTAGTGGTACAATTTTTCTACTTGAAATATATATCACTGATAATGTCAAAAAATAATGTTATGTTATTTCATAATATAATTGTGAAATAATTTTGCAAATTTCCTTATTTTTAAATTGCACACAATATAAATCAGCTGTAGTTGTCAATCAGCTGTGTTACGACCAACACACATTACTGTTTAGATCATCTTAAAACAGGACAATCAATTTAAATTGAAAAGACCTCAACATGGTAGCAATCAGCTGATCAAATCGAACATTTGGTACAATATATCTGATGATTATCAGGATTAAAAAGTTATTTAATTTTTAATAGGAATGAAGGAAAATCGAAACTAAACAAGTTGTCTCACTGGTCCGACTGTTGTTGTCAATGTTGAGCTTCTTTTATATAACAAATATTGACATTATTAAAAAAAAAAATTATCGGGTGTTTTTTTGGCAAATGTGTTATCTATGCAAAACAAATCGAATTTGTTTTCTATCTTGTACAAAACACTTGTAGTCAATTGTAGAGTTCAAAAAAGAAATAAGAAGATTTTTACATATTAATTACACCATCTTTGAGTGATTTTGCCACACGTCAATGTGAAAGTTGCATGTATAGGTGACTCAAATTCGATTATTACTGATCATATGATATATACGTGAATATTGTCAACACATTTTTAAATTTATTTATATTAAGTGTTTTCAACTCGATTAACTTAGTTTCGAATGATATTTTTAAGAACATAATACAGTTATTGTGAAAGTTACATCAAGAATGTTTATTTTCGCCTTTGGACTAATTTGCAACACACCAATGTGAAAGTTGCTTTAGAATTTAGAATTTTTTTTAAATTTTAACTCGCTTGACCTAGTTTTTAATAATATTTCAAGAAAATAAACATAGACGCCTTTGAACTAATTTGCCATACGTCAATGTAAAAGATGGTTACTCAAATTCGATGATGACTGATTATTTGTTTAATGTTTATAGAAAGTTTACATAACATAGTTAGAACATAACACAGTTATCGTAAACTAATTTGCCACACGTCAATGTGAAAGTTGCTAAAATATATTACTCGAAATCGATTATTACTGATTTTATATTAAATGCTTATAGACAGTTAACACAATCATTTTAGGCAATCATATGCAATTCAATTAAGTGTATCGTACCTCAAGAAAATAAATAAGACGCCTTTAAACAAATTTGCCACACGTCAATGTGAAAGTTGCTAGAATTCAATTATTACAGATTTTATTTTAAATGCTTATAAACAGTTTACACAATCAGTTTATGAATGCATGCTTAATTTTGTCCAAATATTTTCTGAATTGGTTCAAATTAAGTGTTCCAAACTCGCTTATCCTTGTTTTATATAACATAACACAGTTTTTGTGGAATTTACATCATGAAAATAAACATAAACGCCTTTAAACTAACCACACGTCAATGTGAAATTTACATGTAAAGGTTACTCAAGATCGATTAATGCAGATCGTATTTTAGATTGCTATAGACGGTTTACGCAATCAGTTTATACATGCATACTGGATTTTGTCCAAATAGTTTTTGAATTAATTCAAATTGAGTGTTTCGAAATCGTTTAACATAATTTTGAAGAACATAAAAGACTTTCCGTGGAATTTACATCAAGAAAACCAACATAAATGGCTTTATACTAATTTGCCACAAGTCAACATGAGAGTTGCTAGCATAGGTTATTCAAAATCGATTATTGCTGATCATATTTTAGACGTTTATAGACAGTTTACACGAACAGTTTTGGCAATCATATGCAATTTAAGCCAAATATTTTTTGAATTCTTTTAAATGAAGTGTTTTAAAATCATTTAATCTAGTTCTGAATAACATAACTCAGTTTTCGTGGAAATAACATCAATAAAATTAATATAAAGGCATTTAAACTAATTTGCCACACGCCAATGGGAAAGTTGCTTATATAGGTTACTCAAATTCGATTATTACTGATCATATTAGATGTGTGTTGACAGTTTAGACAATCAGTTTTTTTAATTAATTCAAATTAAGTGTTTCAAACTCGTTTAACCTAGTTTTGAATAATATTTTAAATATCAAATTCCAGTTTTCGTAAAATTTATATATAAAAGTTACACGTTGATTTACTTGAAATTTGTTGTATAGGGTACACTAAATAGAAATTGTCTGAATGTTGTGAGGTTAAAATACAACTCCATTTCTGCTCAAATTACAAAATATAAATATTTTAACTAAAAACAGAGAAAAAGATCAGAATTTTTAGTTAGGCAATGAGCAGAAGGGAAATGAAAAAAATATATGTTTTTCCTCTCTTTCGCAAAACCGAAGGGTTTCTAAGAAAATATCAAGTCCACAAAGGAAATAAATTATTTTCAGTTGATATAGCCACCATGTTTGAGAACGCTTCTTCTAAAAATAATATTTCGAACAATTTTATATTAAATAACTGATTAATTTGTGATTTTATGGTAGCTGTTTTTTTTCTTCACAATACATCTATATTCGTAATGTTTACTATTAAAATACAAAATATGGTTATTGTTTTTATTGTTGTTGTTTCTAAAGCTGAAGCATTTGAGAGCTCTTGTTTTTTTGGAATGTTTACAAAAGAAAAACATTAAACCATTTGTTTTTTTTTGTGTGTTGTTCTTTTTTTCAAAACTTAGTTGTTACTCTTTTTCTTTATCAGTGTATAATAATCTCTATATAGGTATGTTATGCAAATGTATATATAATAATTATTATTATTATTAATATTAATAATTATATAATATGTATTGTTTATTACAGTTTTATTGTGTTCACGTTTTTTGTGGTATTCTCTTACTTCTCTCTCTCTCTAACTTCTTTTGTTCTTGGTTCATCATCTTAAATCTTTGCTTTCTTACAAATTTTTTTAACATTTATTATTCGGTGTATTTTTTGTATTGTTCAAGTTTACAGAGTTTAGTTGTAGTTGTTGCTGTTTTGCAATGGATTTCTTACGCTTGGGCGCCAATTTGCTGAATGTTCAAAATTTCATTTATTAGTGGGTTTTTTTCAGTATATGCAATGAATTATAATTTGTTGAGGGGGGGGGGGGTTGTATGTTACTAAGTTCTTATTTCTGTTAAATCGTCTACAAAACAAATTATTCCATTATAATTTAGATTTAAATTATTTTGAAGTTTTTCTATTTTGAATTTGATATCTAATAGGTGGGTTGCTGGTATTCCATGTTTTGTTGTTCCATGCCTCCTATTTTTTAAAGAAAAATATGAAATTTGAAAATAATTTGAAAATTTTTTGAGGAAAAATTAAATCTTACCCGTTTGCTGGCCTGAAAATGGTGAAGCACTATATTGGTCATTGTCATTATCCATGGAATAACTTGTGTAGGCCTGCTGATGCACCACATTGGCGGGATCGTTTTCAAAGGCCGATGTAAACTCATCGCCCGCCCCAATTAAGAAACGTTTGTAGGCCAAGAAAGCACACAGTGCCTAAAAACAATAAAACACCAAAAATTGATATTTTGTACTAAAATGATCTCAATTAAGGGGGTTCACATGTTGAAATATTTGGTTTGCCAATTTCTAAGACAATATGTCAAATTTATGAAGTATCTTCGAAAAACGCGTAATTTAGATGCCGGTGGAAACTAGCCTTAAGGGTGAAACAGAACCATGGTAGTAGAAGAATACAAGCATGGCAGAAGAATACAGGTAGATGCATCAACGCTTGGGAGCATTGATATGTCAAAAAAATTTAAATGTTTTTTCTTAATATAAGTAGATTTTTATATGTTTTCTTATACGACGTCATTCGGAGGTTATTATAATTCCTGTTTTTCAACAATTTTTACAAATTTAAATAATTTTTCATTCAACATTTTCAATTCCAAAATTGATTTGACAGTTCATTGTCCCAGCAGCTGTGTCGACGCGTCTACCTATATTATTCTACCATGAATGCAAGTAAATGCCTGGGAACAAATGTCAAAAATTGAAAAATATTTTTCAAAAAAATTTTAGATTTTTATAAGTTTTCTCATACGACAAATCTAAGGTCGTTATAACACGCATTTCCAAAAACAATTTTTTTCAAATTTGAATAATTTTTCATTAAAAATTTTCAATTTCAAAATTGGTTTGACAGTTCATTGTCTCAGCCGATATGTCGATTCGACTACCTGTATTTTTTGTACCATGAAAAGAATTACATTTCTTGCTTCGTTGAAGACATGATAGAAGAATACATCGACACAGCTGCTGGGACAATGAACTGTCAAACTAAATTTGAAAGGGAAATTTTTGTTTGAAAAGTTATTCAAATTCGAAAAAAATGTTAAAAAATGCCTTTCGCAGTATCCTCCGATTGGCGTCGTATAAGAACACATATAAAAATTTACTATTTTTTTTTAAATATTTCAAAACTTTTCAATGTTCCCAAGCGTTGATGGTTGACACCAAAATATAAAGGGCAACGGCGTAAGAATTTCAGAGCGTCTCTGAAATTTTCTTATAATTTGACATATGTCAAGCAAGAAAATGAAGCGAAGCGCTTGACTGGGTTTCCACCTTAAGTATCTTTTTAAACACACGTCTTGAAATCTATAACTACGTTTACATGAAAGCCGTCACAATAAAACACCTAATTTAAAATGTCACCCTAATATGTCAAATAAAACACATAAATTGACATTTAACTAACTTACCCATGTAAATATGGAGAACAATGAAAACACAATGGCCGCTTGCATATTTCCAGCACCAATGCCGCCAGGTGGCATTTCAGCTGAACTCCATTGTGACCACAAATAGATGAACGCCACAAAATACATAAATGCCCAAAATGCTGTAAGAAATATCCATAAAAAATTAAACGTCATGCAAATATCCTCCCTTATCTCCCACTCACCTGAGAAACCCATATCGGCCATAACGAAACGTTTTCGACTTTTCACCGATGACATGCGTTCAAACAGATATTCTCCCACAATAAATGCAATCGATGCAATAAACCCGAAAACCCCAACAGTGTTGCCATATTTACATGCCATATTATCTTTGTTGAACAGACACACCTCTTTGCCATCTTCTTCGCGATATCCCTCCGAGGATATACAACCAAAGACCACCACTGAGAAGAGCTGAAATGGGAAAACACACAATTGTAAAAATAAAATTGGAAGAAAAACCTAAAGAAAATACTTTAAAATTTAAAATTCATAACAAGAAATAATCAATCAATTAAGAAGTTAAAATAAATAAATTTCCAGCAAACATTTGGTAAAATGGGGCGAAGCTTCTTCTAAAAGCGAATAAACGTAAGGCTGGAAATACATAAAGCGCATATTTGGCTGGCTTAAGTCATCGGCTGGCTTCTTCGTAAATGAACAAAGGAGTTTTAGGTTGACCTAGTTCGATTTTGGCCCTAGGCTCCTTTGTTCATTTCCGAAGAAGCCAGCTGATGACTTAAGCCAGCCAAATAAGCGCTTTATGTATTCCCAGCTTAAGGCTAAAACGTATCGAAACCTAAATCACAGCACTATTGATATGTGTAGCTGACAACAGTGTTGTATTTTCACATTTCGTTCAGCCAAAAAGTCAAGCCGAAGTCACGATTTAAGCTTTGAACTGTTTCACTCTATGGAACAAGTTTTTTACAGGCTTAAATTAAACGGCTGGCTTCTTTCTTAAAAGAACAAAGGAGCGTAGGGTGAACAAGTATAAGTTACGGGCTAAAATTGAACTAAGTCAAATCTAAACTCCTTTGTTCTCTTACGAAAGAAACAGCTGATAATTTAAGCCAATAAAAAAGCTTTCTATGTATCTGCCCTTAAGGTGAGAATACATAACACGTTTTTTTGACTGGCTGAAGTCATCGGCTGACTGAAAAGAACAAAGGAGCCTAGGGTTAAAATCGAACTAATTTAACCTAAAATTCCTTTGTTCCTCTACGAAAAAAGCAGTCGATGAGTTAAAAACAGTCGATGAGGCTTGAAACACTTGAACTAACAGGACCTCACGAGCACCCAGCCATCTATTTAATGTTTTTTTAAGATATTCTATAATGTTTTAAAAAAATTAGACCAAATGGCATTTTTGTTTATCTTTCGTGCTTGATTTCAAACACATTAAGTAATTTGACAGCTATATATAATGATCAGCTGGAAGTACACATTTGTTGTACCATGGGCTGGATTTTATTTTACACCTGTTTAACAGGCTTGCTCTGGTATTTGATGTCATGTCTGGTATTTGATGTCAGAATCCAGAGATAGGGGCTTCTGCGATGTGAAAACAAATTTGTCGTACAGCGCTATTGAAGTAGCCAGACATACTAATGGCATGTTCGCACGTTTCAGAAAGAAATTATTTTTTTTACTTTTAAATTTAAGAATTTTTTCAATCAAGGTAGGTTCCTATAATGAGTTTTATATTAAATAATAATTTATAATTATGTCAACATAAAAAATAAAACACAAAAAATTGGGTTTTATTTTTGATCCGTTTAATAGGGTTGTTCTGGGTAGATGCTATGGAAATTCATTGACTTTAGAGCCATGGTAGAAGAATATAGGTAGGTAGTCGCATCAACACAGCTGCTGGGACAATGAACTGTCAAACCAATTTTGGAATTGAAATTTTTGAATGAAAAATTATTCACATTTGTAAAAATAGTTGAAAAATGCATTTAATAACAACCTAAGATTGGCGTCGCATAGGAAAACATATGCAAACCTTTATATTTTTAAAGAAACATTTAATATTTTTTTGACATATAAATGTTCCCAAGCGTTGATGCATCTACCTGTATTCTTCTAATATGCTTTAGAGCTATGCAACAAATTTGCCATACGGCGCTATGACAGGTTCACGTGATGGTGAATATAATTTTTTAGAGTTACTGCAATGTTTTTTTTTGTTTTTTTTTTTTTTTTTTTTTTTTTTTTGTATTAAGAAATCTGTTTATTTAGGTATGTATATAAAAAATACTCATAAAATAATAATATATAATAATGCCAGCCTAAACCTATATGCCCAACCTATAGAAGAAAGTGTTGGCCTGGATTTTATTGTAGACCTGCTTTGATATTATATGACCCCAGAATGAAAAGATAGCTGCTTTTAAGCTTTGCAAATTAATTTTTATTTTTACTTGACATACGGCGCTATTAAAGTAGCCATCCACATTAATGTCAGGTTCACATGATGGTGAATATAATTTTTTAGAGTTACTGCAATGTTTTTTTTTTGTTATTTTTTCTTTTTTTTTGCATTAAGAAATCTATTTATTTTAGGTGTGTTTTAAAAGTTAAAAAAAGAAAATCCTGGCATGGCTTTTGTTTTGGATCTGATTTAATATTATATGGCGCAGAATCTGAAGACAGCTGCTTTTAACCTTTGCAAATAATTTTTTTTTGACATACGGCGCTATTAAAGTTGCCATCCACATTAATGTCAGGTTCATATGATGCTGAATAGCAATTTTATAATCCACTCTTTTTTTTTTAATCTGCTAATAGGTGTGAATATACAAAACTTCCTTATAAAAAAAGACATATACAGGGTGAGATAAAAAACTGCAACAAAGTCAAACGCCACAATTTTTACATTTTTTTTTTTTGAATGAAAGCAAAAGATGTCCGAAATAGCATCAAATTTTAGAATAAGTTTAGTTTTGTTCGTATTGATCGCCTTTGGCACGGACTATGGCCATCAAACGGCCAATGAAACCGTCACACACTGCCTGCGGTATTTTGGCCCGTTCCCGGCAAAGCGCTTGCTTGAGGTCATTTTTTTTGCTTTCCAAAATATTCCAGACACAATAGTCCAACGGATTGGTATCTGGAGATTTTGTAACCATTCTTGGGTGGCGCGTGCTGGGTGCCATGATGCTGAGTCCTGTTGGAATGTCTAAGGTCTGCGGCCAAAATGTTTTGCGTGCTCAAGTCTTGAATACAACCTCCAGAATATTTTCGCTATAATATTCGGCATTTATTCTGATGCCACGGTAGATGAATACGAACGGAAAGCGACCATCGTCTGTTATGGCGGCCCACGGTCTATACCATCCTTACGGCCGGCGCTTGACTTGTGGTGGCCAACCGAAGGTGCACAATTTCACCTGACCTCTTTGGCAAGTAAACTCGATAATTTTGTTTGTTTACAAACTGCTGGACAAAGAATGTTTTCTCATCGGAGAAAATCAAATTCGGCAGTTCACCACTTTCGGCCAAGCGAAGCAACTCTTTAGCTCCTTTGAGTCTATTTTCTTTCCGTGGCGGTGTAAGTTCTTGCATTTTTTGGAATTTCAATGGCTTACCCCGAGCTCATTTATCAATATTTGCGGAATGGAATATTGCGATATGTTCAGCTCATGAGCCATTTTTCGGCCAACGCGACGACGCGGGTTTCGATCAAGGCGCTTCTTTACTTTTCGAACCATTTCTGAGGATGTTGCTGTTTTCTTTCGTCCACTTCCTTGACGTCGGGCTACGCTACCAGTATCACGGTAACGAGCGATGGTACAAGACACAAAAGATTTCTTCACATTTAAATGCTGGAGTGCTCTAACGATATCCACTTGTGGTTTTACAGCCAAATGTGAAGAAATCACACTATCACGCTTGAATTCCATCAAGAATAAATTTTTTTTCCGAAAAATTCTCACCAAAATGCTTTTGTACGCTTGTAAATAATATAATGAGCTGTCACTGGAATAATTTTAACAGCTGTTGGACGAGTAGCTTAGAAATGACAGCAGTCTGAAGTTGGTTGCAATGTTTTCATCTCACCCTGTAAATAAATTTTAAAAATTTCGGAAAAACATGGGCCGGTTTTTATTTTGGATCCGCCTTGATATTATATTGTCCCAGAATTCAGAGACGAGTGCTTTTAAGTTATGCAAATAAATTTGCCATACGGCGTTACTGTAGTTGCTTGTCATACTTATGGCATGTCCACACGTTGATGAATTAAAGTCCTTTTTAATTTAATCTCATTTGTTTGTTTTCTCTAACTTTTCAAAATTTAAACAATCTGTTTATTCTCTAAACATGCACAAAAAAAAATCCCTACAAAAATGTTCTGAAAACACAAGAAAAAAATATAACTCATGGAAAATCCACTTTCAACATTTGTCATCATTATAACAAATGTCAACCTAGAAAAAGACCATAAAAAACTGGGGCAAAACTTTAGAATGGGTTCTAGTTGTTTTTGTTAATGTGTTTTCCATTTATATTTTTTTTACAGCCTCCTCTGACTGAAACATGTGTGAAAAAGGTTTTTTTTTTCAAATACCATTGAGAGAACAAAGCGCTGCGAAAAAAAAAATAAAAAGAGTAGGAGAAAGAGAGTGGTGTGAGTAATGCATGTGTTTGACTAAATGGCAGGCAGACAGGACGGGTTGCATTTTTAATAACATTCATACACATACAAATACCGGACGAAGAAAAATAACGAAAAAAGAAGAGAAAAAGGACAATGGTATAAAAAAGCTTTTGTATTGCATCAGACAAATGTACACAAAGTAACGAACATCTGTTAAAACAAGCTTTATTTGATGATGCCAATTTGGATTGTTTGTCCAGCAAAAAATTTTTTAAAAAAGATGAGAGAGAAAAACGAATGACAAGGAAACTGTTCAAAATTATTCCATCGAATATAAAACCTAAGTGAACATAGCCAGCTGTCGTATACATGAGTATATAATACTGTGTACATAATATTACATACATAGTTACATAGCATCGTATTACTGCGTTACATGGTAACTAGGTGCTCATTTATTCCTGGGCACGTAGGCTTGCAGTAATTCTATACTATATGGATTGAGTGTGTTACTTTGAATGAAAACCTTGAAAGATGGTCATATACTTGAATTTAGTGTAATGATTAGAATATTCAAGAGATGGTGAATAAAAGGCCATCAAAAATCTGTACAAGTAAATCAAGGCCTCTTGATAACAACGAAAGTGAATTTGTCTATCGCAAAAAGTTTGAAAATAGTGGTAACTATCTCGCGAGTTCACTAGGTGAATATTTTTCTTTGTTCAATATTTAGCTTTGCTTTACAGGGATTTAAAGGTCGTTTACAGTTTATAGGGTTTAGTAAACCCAGTGAATTTAAATGGTCAATTCC